CGCGCTTCTTCGGAGATAGAGGAGAGTGCCCGCTCCAGATTAGCCGTGATTCCCTACGTCCGATGTGTCACCGATCGTGTGGGTAAATTACTACAGAAGAACAACATCCGTACGGTGTTCACGGCGCCCGACAAGCTGCACAACGCCTTGGTACCCATTAAAGATGCGTTACCTCCTCTCCAGTCGGCAGGAGATTATGAAGTTCCCTGCAACTGCAGCAGGACATGCGAGCCCGGGCGTTCTGTGTCCGAGCTACTCAAAAAACACATCGCCCACTACAAGAACAACATTAACCGTTCTGCTATGGCGCACCACTCGGAGGTTACGAGACATGCCATTGACTTCGACAAGACTCGGCTCCTGCACAAGGCAAACCGATACTGGCCGAGACGCATAAAAGAGGCATTAGAAATACACAGACGTCCGCAAAACATCAACGCGGACGCAGGCCTCGCTCTTAGTCACGCCTGGAAATCCCTCGCTCCATCTATTCGGGACCGGCAGGGGACTGTTCAACACCGTCCGACCACGGGGACGTGTGGCGCAAGGCCCAGGTTGGCCCAGACCGCCGGCCAATCAGGGAGACCGCTCCGCCAATCACAGCGCACCTGCCCCTCCCGAGAGCCCAGGCAGGATAGTTTACGCACCACCCTCCGGGGCGGCCGGAGCGCGGCCCACTGCACCCGCATCCGCCGCCCAAACAGAATGTGTATAGTTATAGTTATAGGATAGTTTTAGTTTGTAAGCAATTAAGCCTTCCCTAACTGCACAAGCCAAATCGGCTGCAGTTATTCATAATGTACCCCAAAGAGAAATAAATTCCCACCTCTCCAGGGAAACTGGAGGGGGGAAAACTGAAAAAAAAGCGCCGCAGTGTCACTGCCCTGAGGAAGCCTGCGACATGTCAGGCGAAACGTCGGCACCCCAGCCAACGACGCGGCAACTCCCGGAAAGCCGAGAATTCATGGATTCGAGCCGCGGAAGCTTACGTACACGAGCGCCGATCAACCGATTTTCTCGGAAATTGATTTTCCCGATCGATCTGACTGATGTCGCGGCCCCTTGAATTTTAACATTTTCAAAAAATGGTATCAAATTTTTTGATTAAATTTTGAGCTCGAGAGGGTAAAGAACGCTTAAAAGAATGGTGCAGGTCTCGAATTCGTTGAAATCTCTGATTTTTCCAAAATTGGAAAAGTTCACATATTTAGGAGCCTTCCAACACAATACTCAATTAAATATAGAGATTTTTCTTTTTATGAAATTTGTTCTCCATAGATAGTTCTTTCATTAACGTCATATATGTCATGTGTAGCAGACGACATTTTCTTTCCTCGACAGTTTCACCGAAAGCGCCAAGAAACTATCCAACTCCTAGCTTCGCTGGCTAGGCCGCCGCTGGCTACGCCGGTGACGCGGCAGCCACTTTGAATTTCGCGCCCGGAAGTAACATACATACTAGTTTTCCTTAGACTTTTTTTTTCGTAAAAAGTGGATCTGCCATTCAACATAGAATCTGGGGCATTTTTTTATTATAACGAGAACTTCCGGACATCGTGTACAATTGCCTCATGTATATTAATTAATTGTGTATACTACAAAAACCACACTTTACCCACAAGAAATAGCGGACATATTCAATGAACACATTCACACATTGGTAAAAAAATCACTCTTTCAGCACACTCTAAACAATGAAACACACCAACCAAACACCAATGTTACACATATCGTAAATTCCAGTTTTATATGAAAACCACTCCCTCTGAAAATTTAAAAATCATTGGACAAATGGAAGATAAATTCCCAGCTGGCCTGGACAACATTCCAGATTTTCATATCATATCATTTCACATAGAAAAGTCAGTGCCTTTTTAAATTTAAAAAAGTACAATAAGTCTAAACAATCCAAATAGTGTAAAGAAATAATAATTCATTATATATTTGCATATTATTCTAACATAGAACACTTTAGGTCAATGAATTAAAAAATATGATGTAATTATAACAGATATTTTTCACAATACAAATTTGACCTAATTTCATGCCACAATATTTATTTAATAAATACACAATATTTTTGTGTCAATTTTATGTGTATGGATGGATATATATTTCATTAATTAACATTATCTTTTGTTACAAATATGGAAATAAATATTTCTATTAAAACAATCAAAAGTTCGCCTTACGAAATTTTGCATTTGCTGAAATTTGTCCACCCCCAAATATTGCGCACCCCGGGCAGCAGCCTGCTCAGACTGTTCAATAATCTGGCGTTGAACACAGTGCTCCATGTATAGTGTAACCATTCTCATATATTTGAAATTACTCTCTAAAAAATGGCATATTCCCAGATGTATTCAAAATAGCAAAAATTGTTTGTTAAAAACCATTGTTTACAAAAGGGCAGTAGTTATGATCCAATGAACTACAGACCTATTTCCCTGCTATCAGGATTTTCAAATATTCTGGAAAGGCTTTTCAACGATAGACTCAAACAGTTTCTCAATGAAAATAATGCCCTAACAAATGCAAAACATGGCTTCAGGAGTAATAGATCCACACACATAGCCATCTGCTTCTTTTTAAATTACATACTTGGTGCACTAAGTCAGAAGGAAATTCCCATTTGTCTTTTTTTTATATTTGTCAAAAGCCTTGACATTATTAACCATTACATACTTTTAACAAACCTAGAAATGCTAGGGGTGTGAAGCATTACAGGTCAATGGATCATATCATATTTATAAAACCATAGCCAAGTTGTTACCTTCCATCACATCAAAGAGAACAAAATCTCCTCATACTCCTCCTCCTCACAGATAATAAATGGTGGAGTCCTGCACAGTTATATCCTGGGGCCATTACTATTCCTTACAAACATAAATGACATGCCTTTGGCTTAATACCTTTGGCATAAATGACAAACCCTTGGTCAATAAACTAGAGGGCGTTACATTTTACAACAAAATGGGCCATAATATTAGACACAAACATAATAAATAATAACATTTAAAAGTAAATTGAAAGCTTTCCTGCTTAACATGCCCTACAGTGTAAAGGAATATACAAATTACAACATTAATCTACCTTAAAAAAATATAAATACATAAAAATTCTTATCCCATTTGACTTTGACTGCTTTGAGCAGAAGCAAAGAAAAAAGAACTGGTTATATCCTGTCCTGCCTGTGTTAAATTGCAAATTGGATAGATGTAGAAGGAAAATGCCTGACCAAAATTCTATTCTTTCACCCTGGATTTGCTAGATGCATTAGATATTGTTAACAATAAAGTTAAATTATTTCTCAATGGATACTATTGTTTTTATTATTATTACTATTATTCGTATATATTATTATTATTGTTGTTATTATCATTATTAACAAGTATTGTAATTCAGCTGGAAGATTAATGACACTAATTCGATTAGGGTTTTTGTCCAGTTTCCTTTGATCTTTTGAGGAAATGCTGAGATGGTCTCCTTGCTTTGATTTCTGGAACTTCACTCTGCCCAAGTCTTCTTGAGTTTCCTTTTGCTAGACGTGAGAGGAGTGGAGGATAATTATTTGTTAACAAAGTATTCAAAATCAAAATTGAATGCCACTTGCAGTTCTTTCACATAGAGGTGAACATTTCTTATATTAAAATACTATTTTTTACCTTTACTGGTAATAGTGTGAAAAAGTTGGAAATCTGGAACTCAGGAAGACACATGCACCTGCATACATCATATCTGACACACAATTTCAATCATGTCTGATGACTCAATAAATATCATTATTAATTATGATTACTACTATAATTAGTATACTGCTATTATAGTTATATTATTATTATTAGTGATTGTATCGTTATTTTCTAGTATTACTATTATCATCACCACTATTATCATTATCATTTTTATTATTATTGTTATTGTCATTGTTGTTATTATTATTATTATTATTATTATTATTATTATTATTATTATTATTATTATTATTAGAATATTGGTCATTTATAACCACGCTACACGATATCTTCCGAGGCCCCTAAAAGATTAACGTGTGTAATTATGGGAATCGGCTATTAACTGCTCCATCCCTCGATAAGACAAGGATTTTTCGTTATTTAATGTCGCATCAACTTTTAGGTCATTAGTGACCACTATTGCTTCTAATGGTATGGTAACTGTGAGGATGACACGATATGATGATGATAGGGGGGTGAAAGGACGAACACAATACAACCATGCCTTAGATGGGACTCGATCCTTCGGTCTGAGATCGCTACAGCACTACTGTCTTAGTGATCTCCGCCACCGGATCGGCAAGAAAAGGTTGTTACGCCTTGAAATATGAATAACGAGGTGCCAGGACGATAATTAAGGACAAAGGGACAATCACAAATATGATCATACCTACGCAGGACTCGCATCTGCAGCCTCCTCAGAGCAGACGAAGGCTGCTGCGTCTGCAACCCAGGACTGGTCTCAATAAATATTATTTTTACTTACTGTTACTATTATTACTATTATAATTATTATAATTGGAATAAGTTGGTCAGATGGCGGAGATTGTGGGGTAGTAGTGCCGCAGCGGCCTCGGACCAGAAGACCGCAAGTTCGAGTCTCGCCTTGGGCAACGGTGTATTTCTGTATGTCTGTATGTGTGTGCTGTCCTTTCATCCATCACTATCATCATCTCCATTGTCTGTACCCCCAGGGCTAACAACCTTGGTGGATAAAAATCGTGAATCAGCTAAAATGCTGTCCTCCCGAAAGTACTTGCACCTGCACGAGTGGTCCACGTTGGCCTATATGCGGAAAAAACAGTTTTAAATAAAAAAGAGGGAATATAGATCATATGTTTATAATATACATATATATTTGTATATAATATTTATTGTTAAGCATTGGCATCAAATACATATAACTACAACTGTCAAGTTAGGTAACAACTAGAACATGTATTATCTTAACTGTTACTGCAAGTATTCCAACATGTACAATAAGATTTAATGAAACCTGTAAATAACAAGCATAAAATGCTTAATAAATATATTTTCTCTGAATATTTTCATTTATTAAATTTGTTTATGCCCCACATGTAACAATCTCTCTATAAAAGACATCCTTGACTAGCAGCACAATGTTCTCTTTTCATCTCAATTCTCTTTTATGCAAATATGAGAAGTTATGAAAAGTTAATTGTCATAAAGTGAGATGTCATGAGAAACAATTTATTGTTCACTATGTATTATAGAAGACTAAATTTATATGTATTGTTTATTTATATTAAATCAAGTAAATTAACGAAAATGTCTAGGTTCCATAACTACTCAAATTAATATTTTTAGTACACATTATATGGATTTGAATGCAACAGGAAATTCATAAAAGTCTATGTACACTATATAGTTCACAAAAAGAATTCTTTTAAAACACTATGGAACCAGTTCTAAGAAGCATGAAGACAAATGTAGAGTGGGTTCTCAAATGGAATTGTACTAGCCTTCGAGTCTTAGAATAAACAATACATTTTATAATATTAGACTGGATAAAGTCTGATCTGATATGAATTTTACCTTGTATAACCCAAAATTACTACACTCTGTCAATGTTTCAACTACAACGATACACGATTTTGCCATCCTGCCATCAGTCTGACCACTGTTCAAAATTACTTTTAGATGGAATTTTAATTTGTGGTCTAAGCATCTGAAATCATTAGTTTCTTAGAGAAATTTTCATATATTTAAAATTGTATCCTTTCTATTCACAATGATATAGAATTACCACAGCCAAATATTTAGCACAATCTCTTTCCATATGCAGTATAATTTTAGCAGATTAATATTTTCACATGCCTCACAGAAATCAAATATGATGGAATATTCTGGATAATATAAAAATCTAATTATAACAGTTAAAATTATTGGATAAAATTAAATATAATGTTGCAGATGTCTCTACCCAGTCATACCTTTAAAACATGGAATGCACAGCACAAAAGCTAAAAATCGATGAAAAGAGTCTCAAAGGCTGCAGAAACTTACAGCCTATAAAAAGTCCATCACAAATAATTGTCACCTTCCAGCAACACGCATTACAAAGAACAATTCAGTGGACAAAGTTAACTTGCCTAATCCCAATCACAATAAAAATGTTTAAGTAAACGTGTTTGCATATAATCATAATTAATTTTATTTTCAACAGTCAATGATGTACTGAGGTAATATGTTGAAAGACTCCACACACCAGGTAAGTTTTCAGAGCACCAAACATACCATGTATCAGTAAGAGGAAAAGCAAGCAATTAGAATTTAGACATAGAACTCACTTTCGCCAACTTTTTCCTATTCAGTTTATAAATAATATATTTGTAATGGGTAAAGAATTGAACTTGTTTCAGGATACAAATTGAAATATTTGACATAAAATAATGGGCAATACACACTTGCCTTTGATATTGAGTATTATCATCCATAATTAAAAATTATTATATACTATGTGTAAATTACAAAGATACAAAAATACTGAAATGATTTGCAAGAATAAACATCCTTGCAAAATATTTTTCTATTGCTATGGAAGCTTAAGGAATATAAAAGAATGGTACGAAACCACCTTGCATATCTTGCTCTATAATCTACAAGTATAAAATAAAATACAAAAATAAAAAGTAATTACGAGACAGCTGTTACACATAACACGAACTTATGAATGTATAAGGAATGTGAGATTCAGCACATACCTATGCACTGCATTTAAAATATCTATTCACTAATTGTACACAACAAGCAAAGCAAATGCACATCAGTTCTCAATTAAAATGAAATTTTTTCATGCCATTGATTCATATGTTTTCAAGATCTATAGCCAAATTTTATCAAATGCTCAAGAAAACACACGACATAATATCCTAACACACAACAAAGCAAAAAATAAATCACAGAATGTAATCATAATGGAGGAGAACATATGGAATTGAGCTTATTTGAGACAATAAAAACTGCACTAAAATTCAGTCAATTAAAGCAGCACTGTAACAGTTTTAGGGGGAACAACACCTCAGTACTTGTAACTAAAAATATACAACCATGTTCCTAATGAGATGAGAGGAAGGCTCTTCACAATTCAGAATACGAGTATTACATTGACTATAAACACATTCTTACAGGCACTCACTAAGGAAGAAGAACACACCTAAATTCACAGTACTGTTTATCACATACATATATTGTTTACCTTTTTTAATGGAAGTATTAGGTGTATTCTAATACAAGATACAGTGTTAATAACAACTGGAAGTACTGAAACATTACTGAATATATATGAATTTTTTTTCTTATCACAAGGAAATGCGTCTAAAAATGAGCCCTATTCCACAAAAACTATCTTCCACATTGAATTATTACAGACATTTTAATACCATATTTGACTAGATATTTCCATATGTTTTCCACTATTTATGTTACACTCGTGATCCACAATTTTCTACAGTAGAATGAGATATATGGCTGCGAAAACTGACATATTAAGTACACACAGATGGTTACTACAAATGAGTCCCCATCTATACAAGATCCTGATAACTAAACTTACAGATATTGCCGTTTTGATGGAGAAATTTATAATTGATCTTAAATAATTTAAAAAATATTCAAAAGTAAATTTATACTGAGAACATCACAACACCAAATAACATAAATTTTGAAAATTGCAAAATGAATTTCTAAAAATGTATCACTTCGTTTTTAATAAAACATTATGGCACACACTACACAATGTAATAAACTACATCATTAAAACATATTTTGGTATTCCTGCATGTATACAACATGTCAAATTTAAAACACCATGAAAAAATGCCATTTTCTGCCTGGTGTCTTAGTACATGCTATACAGAAACATTTCATAGAAAATTAATAACATCCAATTATCACAAGTTTTGAACTTGGAAATTATGTTTTAATACATAAAATGCCAAACAACAAAAACAATATTTATAAAGAAATAAAATTACAGCTTTAAAGAAATAATTTATATTCACATATGACAGATTTATAGATGCCAAAGAATATTGCCAAGTGAACTTTTTATATTCAAGTTGTAGATGAAAATTTACATTCAAACTTTCTTACAAGCACGCCCAGCAATGGGGCAGTGATATATTAAAAGTATAGATATCTGTACTGATAACAATATCTAACTGTATTTTTGCAAACCATATGTATAAAATGTCACCACTTGGCAAAAACACAGAAATTGTAATGTTCTTCAATAGTAGACAACAAGACTTGAAAATCTTTAAGAAGCGTTAGCAACAAATACCAAGTCATTTTTTATGAGCCCTCACAAGGATGTGAGGTTTAGGAATTTTGGTGTTCTGCTGACTCCCTTGGCACCGGCTCCTTCCCAGATAATCACAATGCCATCAGCTGCTGAGGCATACAAGTGCTGGGAATCGTATGAATAGGTGAGACTGAAATGAGAAAAAACATGAAAGGGTTCACTAGCAGTAACAATTAGCTAAGTGGAATGTGGTAAGTGTAATTTGCATTGTAAAGAAATGTAAGCATAATGTACACAATATATATTTCTGTCATGATTAGTGAAAACAAAGAGACTTGGGGTAACATATGAAGAGAAAGAAACTTACCTAATGACTGGACGGTTAAGTAAATTGCAGGTGATTTCACGAACTAAGGAGAGGTCCCAAGTACTCCACAACCTAGTGCAAGGAAAGAATTTTAGTTAAAGTTACTATCGAAAAAGAGTATAATAAAGGGGTAGCGGAATAAGATAGGCAAAAGTGCTCCTGAGGGATAAAAACTTTTTATATTGAAAATTGTATTTGAAGTGTAAAACAAACAAGTTTTTCACAGGATTTATATCTTTTTGCCTGAAGTAATTCACACAAATGAAAGGAAGAAAAGAAAGAAAGAAAGAAAGAAAGAAAGAAAAAAAAAGAGAGAGAAAAAAAAAAAAAAAAAAAAAGTGTTTTTAAGCTTCTTATATCAGCACTAGCCGATATATAAGCAGATATATAAGAAGCCTTGAAACTTGGTAGTTTAGTACTCGATTAAGATTTTAATTAGTTATGAATGTATGTAGGTAATTAATTTAATTGCAAATAAACAAATTAATTGTTTTAAATAAAGATATTATGAAATTCAACACACACTAGTGCTTAAACCGTTCATCCGATGAAAAAAACTTTAATGTATAAATTGTGTCCCCAAGACTGGCTCAATGAGTTGACCCAATAAAAAAAATCTCAAGAATATTTTTAATTTTTGTTAATACATGCTAAAATTTTTTCAAGAGGCAAAAATTAATAAATAATTAACTTTGAGCGTAGTTATTTGAGATTCCTCTCAATAAAGATTATATGAAGACTTGAGGTAGCAAGATAAGTCACACAGTTACAGTAAGTGTCTTGCTGCTTGTAAATGATATTTTCTCGATTTTGGATGAAGTGCGACTTCTCTGCATACTGTCTTAAGTGCTTCATTTGTATGGACAAGACACATAAAGAAACTCGCCATGCTATACTTTGACCAAAATCAATACACTGACATTTACAAATAGGGTAGTCTTTTGGTGGCTTGTTTTTGCTCAATCCCTTCATATCTTAAGCACTTCAGGGATTTTACTATTTTTAAAATGGGTCAATCTTTCAATTTCTTAGAAGCCAATGTATGATTTAAATACTAATAGTAGATTTCCTATTTTGTATGTAAAATAATTATTTAGGTACAAATTTGTTGCTTTGCTCTGAAAAACAGGTGAAAGAAACTTCTCCTTTCTCCCCCTTATCGCTGGAGCTGCTCACAGTGCATGTTGGAGCAAGCATTAAACAATTCTCTAGTCCAACTGAATCTCTTCTCTCTGCCAGCATTTATACTGTCATGTTCCAATTTTTAAATTAAAAACACTACTAAATAGAGTTCATTTCAAACTGATTTGATCCTTGAAAGTATGCCCCAATTGAAATGACTATATATGTATTTAATTTTACACATGGAAAAGATCGGTTCTAAAAAATATGTTTCCATACTTTAAATTTCATAAACTTCTTACACTTGAACCATTCAAGCCATGTAGAAAAACTGAGATAATATAAATATTGATGGATTGGGATGACATGATTACTTCTCATTAATTATGAAAATAAAGTACATGTTTAAATGAATACCACAAAGGAAATTAATATTCTCTCATTCTCAATGATCATCACAACCTCAACCTCAAACCTAACGTGGGCAGCAAGAGAACAAGAGAGAGCGCATGGGCGCTCGCTTGGTTTGAGGTTGTGATGATCATTGAGAATGAGAGAATATTAATTTCCTTTGTGGTATTCATTTAAACATGTACTTTATTTTCATAATTAATGAGAAGTAATCATGTCATCCCAATCCATCAATATTTATATTTTAACAATTTTGCTACATGGCTATTTGTGTGTGCGCGCCTATGGCAACTTGTAAAATGCCCATACTGTACAAGTTGAAACAAGATGTTTGACTCGAGTATGTTTTGAACTGTAAGATCAGACACTCTTTTCTCCAAAATAAAAGGAATGACTGTCAATAAACCGCATTATGACTGAACAGAAAATTATATAGTTTCATTTCAATGAATCTTTATTTCAATGTCTTTGAAATAAAAAGTGCTAGAGATCAATGGTACATTTTCCAGAGCACCAGATATCAACCAACTAGGTGAAAACTACTCCACAATATATTCAATGTCAAAATGGTATTTCAGTGGAATATTTTGGGTATTTCAACCTGAATATTAACCACAATCATAAGGATTAAAATAAACAAGCAACTAAGCAAGCATAAGTACAAAAAATACTCACCTCACAGCTCCATTAGCAAGTCCAGTGGCTATCACATTCACTGAGATGCCTTCAGGTGCACTGGAGAAGCATAAGGCAGTGATGGGAATGGGTGAATTTACACTACCCACCAAGGAAGTATTGATGGTGTATAAGCGTAGAGTACTGCTACTGCTAGAGTGACACACTGTAGCCACATCTCCCATGGTTTCGCTTATACACACTAGATTCACAGGAGAGCCCACTTTGGGCACTGAGCGCACATATGAAAGGCTGTAAAATGGGCCACAAAAGCTGGTCATACACAAGCACATCTAATCAAAGCTAATAAAAAAGAATTGAAACAGAAAAGAGGACATACGTGGTGTTTGTGTGTAAATAATGGTAACTGACATTTTATGTTTTGCAGAGAAAAAAATGTGAAACTGCAGTTTTACATACAATGAGAGCCACAAAGCAATAGAGATCTCTACCATTTGTTAGCGATTCTTGAAATACCTTGGAATATAGACAGAGCTACTCCCTCAACTTCATAAAGGCTAATAATCTCAATTCTCTTAATGTCAAATACCATTAAATATACCAAAATGCCTCGTATATTTATAATAAACAGCAATAAATTAAGAGGCACAAATATTTCAAACGTTCCATCAATACAGAGAAATAAACGAAAGGGAAAGAGAGAAATTCTTGCAAATAAAAAATAAGACCAGCAATGAAAATAATGTATGTGGGGGTAAATTTATGAAAACTCTGACTCCAAGAAAATTATAAAAAGAAATTACTAGAAATAAAATACAAGGAGAGTGTTGGTAGGTGTAAGGAAAAGGTAAAATTAAGAAATGAAAACAAAGAAACAGCACAAAATGCAAATTAAAAAAACTACAAAAGAAATGTTTCTCTCCAAAGCGTGCACATACACACCAATAACAAGAACAGACATCATGAAGAGTGCAAGACAAAAAGCTTGACATACAATATCAAAAGAATAGTTTCATTTATACAGCAAATTTCACCAGTATAGAATATCTAACAATTTAATTTCTTATTAGTTAACATCTGTTGTATTAATAGAACCACTTATTGTTGATGACCTTTTTATTAATAGACATAATTGTACAATATTCATAAACATTGTACAAAGAGACATTTTAATCCTAATTTAGGCCATAAACAATTATTAAAAAGGTCATAAACAATTTTTTTTGTCTTATTCCAACAAAATTTCTTACATTTGTTGCAAAATAAAAGTAGTTGATGCGACTTAAAAAAACGAGGTAGAATTAAAAATGGTATGTGACATTTTAGTCATTGAGAAAACCAGAAGCAAAGCTAGGGACCCTAACAGGATTGTTTCAAAGGATCAAGGGACACTGGACAAAAAACACAATTTAACCAGAGATATGAACATATTCTACACTAAGTACACATACAGAAAACTTTTTCACAAAAATTATAAATAATACTCATTAAGAATCAGTATTGTAATAAATAAAAATTGTTTGCTTGAGCGAATTCAGAATATATAATACAAATCTTTTATTAAATGGATGTTTCAAAAAGTTTAAAAATAATTTCGAAATTGTTACAGAAAATAAAATGGCAACAAACTGATTCTCCAAATTTCATTTCAGAAGGAAGGGGAATGTTTTCTACTGATGGCTACCGTGGTGCAATTTTGTTCTCTTTTCTGGGCATTACTCAGGTTAATGTCAGCGGGATAATAACACTTCTGGATCAATTGAGAAAACTTCTAAGGGAATGGGTAGAGGAGGTGCAAAAGATCTGGCAGCAGAGTTACAAACAAGCTGTGTATATGACACAATATGCTCATCTCTTCATAAAATGCAGACACCACACCAATAGTTCTTGGTAGTATTAGACAAGTACAAATGAAAGCAGATGCGAGAACATGGTTTGTTTGTCAAGAGAAAAGAGAATTTTAGAGGTATTGGGGCAGTTCAGAAGGAATGTTAGGCAAAAGCAATTAAAACTCTGACATCTGGCAACACTGGTACAGAAACATGCAAAAGGTAAATGCTTGAAATATGTTCATTCCCACTTTCATCGCTTCATTTCACAAAACCTTAGAGGTTGAGTTCTCCTCACTTATTTCCATATTACTGATGAAATAAAATACCCAGAGTCACTTACAATTCACAATATCATTGCACATGTAAAAGCAGTGAATGTTATTTTGCAAGACAAAAAACTCAAATAATTACTTTTCTTTTCATCACATGTATTACACCCTTACATTTTTTTACAATTAAGGTGCGATTAAGGTACAATTAAAGGACCAACTCTAAAAACAAATTCAAGAAGTGTCTTGCTCTTTAGAGTGTACATAACTCATTTTTGTAAAAACTGCAAATAGGTGGTTTAGTACGTGCAATGATGATAAGTTAGTTCAGAGAAAATGTTCTGAGTTTTGAGATCTGGAGTTTGTGACTACTTAGATGCACCTGGCACTCATTGCCAAGAAAAAAAATAATAAAGTTATGTCATAAGGGCGTGAATCACCTTGGTGTACATATTTATACGCCCTGCATCACATGTTTTATACATGCTTTGCGCTGTTTTGCACATTCTTTATAATGTTTTGCATGCTTAGAATGAAAAATATAGCTATTTCACTCACAGAAAACAAGCAAGAGAAACAATGTTTCACGCACGGCTTGTTAAAAAATTACTTTTGAAACTATGGCACATTCCAGAAATCACCTTTTATTTGTATTCTCCAAGATTGAATTAAATGGAGTATGGTATCAAAGCGATCTTACAAATCATCTCAGTACATAAACAACTGCAGGAAAAGGGGGTTCAATTTTTTAGAATGAAGACTGATTGATAGAAATTTCTCTCAGCTGTTTGAGTAATACTGTGTTACGGACTGGTTTGCCAATGCTTTGCGCAACATATTGTATACTTTCCTCAGGTTTGAAAATCGATTTCCCATGATAGGATGACCAAACTTTTGCCCAACCTTCAACATGGTATCACTTGGACACTTCAGAGATGAATCACATATCTCCCACTGTGGAATCCCATGACTATCATCAAGAACAATTCAACCATCAATTGGTTGGTAGATTAAATGACATATTACTAATTTTTTTATCAAATGAAGTGAGAGACAATAGTCCTAGACAACATTGCTCTGCAAGTCAACTCCAACAAAAATCAATGCAACAAGGAGTGTTCAGCTGATTGATCACATTAAGAATATGGATCATATTTTACACTTTTCTTATTCCAGAATACAATTCACTTCTCTTTTTGTCCTATTTGTTTCTAAAATTGAAATATTACTTAAAGTGGATGGATATACTAATAATGACAGTGAACTCAAACTTGCCATCTAGCAATTAGTACTAATATGACAATTTGTTTAAAGATTAAACTATCTTCAATAGCAGGTAAAAATATTTTTACAGTAAAAAGGTGAAAGAAGATTAGCATATTTATTCTTGCATTATTTGTAACTTTAGCAATTTTTGAAATTCCTCAGAGGTCAACAAAAACGAAAATTCGGCCAAATTTTTTCACTCTATCTGAGGAAAAAATAATGTAAACAAAACACTGGAGCTATTTTTGAGAAGTTTTTAAATTCTTAAGATGAAAATAAGTTGCCCTTATTTCAATAAAAAATGATGGGGAACTACCAGTTTTATCAATAAATTGTACATGAATTTATTTAAAGAGCTAATTTTTAAAACTAATTTCATAAAAAAATCTGTATTATTGATATAATACTTTGGAATGTTAATTTTTTGGAATTTATGAGAATACAGAGAGAGTGGCAAAAATGGAACCTGCGTCATTTTTTAATTTTTCTTTGCTATATGCGAGGAACCTTTTTTTTAATGGAGCAGTTCATGAAGGAAAAAAACCTACATTTTCCTTTCAAAAAGTTGTTCATTGGCCAGTTTGTTTCAAATACCAGTTCACCGGAAAGGAGACCTATCCCAGTTTTATAAGTGCCTTTCCTCTATTTGAGAAAAACATTCAAAGAACAAATTCAAAGCTGTTTCTGATAAAAAAATAATTTTATTACCTTTACAATCACACAAAACAACGCTAAAATTACTCATTTTTGAAAAACTTTACATGAGCTTATTTAAAGATCTATCTATGAAGAATAGATTAAATAAAGAAAAAATATCTACCTTCAATTCTAGGAAGAAACCATAAACATTTGAACTTTCGCAATTTTTAAAAATTTAGAGATTTCAATGAAAATGAGACCTGTGCCATTATTTAAGCTGCCTCTACCCTATCCATGGACAAAGTTTAATAAAAAACAGTTTGGAGACATTTTTGACTGAATTTTGAGATGATGTTGAGGCTTCATGTAAAGTATTTCCAAAAATAAAAACTAGCTACAGTTTACACCACAGCATTACATAACTTTCTCTGTACTCTGTAGAAAGAAAGTAATATCAATTTCAAACTTGCAGGCCCTTGGGTTCTTGGAGAACATTAATTCTGAATGAATGTTCATTTATGTTTAGGATTGCCAACAAACCAAAAATTGTCATCACTAACAGTAATAAGAAAGTGATTGGCTTTACCCTCATTGTTTGATTTTACCCTCTTCCTGGTACTCCCCTCCAACAAATAAAAATGTTTCCAAGTCTCAGCCAGCTCAATAGAGGGATATCAGATTTGAAATTCAGAAACTGTTCAAACTGTTTTTTCCTTGTCATCACAAGAGTCTGAATGTACTGCTCAAATAACTATTTCTATCAAGTCATAGCAATGATTCACAGTAGAGGCATCTATCACTTACAAGGTGCAAGAGTTACTAAAAGGAAGAGTCTGCAACTTAAAATATTAACCGGGAGGAAGAGGGGATAAGGTTGAGACATTACAAAGGGACACTTGAAATCTAACAAATTACTAGAACAAAAGAGCAGGACAGTATGGTTTGATCATGAAGATAAGTGAAAAGGATGCAAACTATGAAGGAAATGGTTGAACACTTGCTAGAAACAGAAAAGAGGTGAAGATGAAGTCCTGAATAATGAGGTAAAAAAGAGAGAATGGTGGTAATGTCATCCCCACCATCGCATGCAAGAAGATTAAGTGGAAAGAGGATAAGCATTTCTAATGTATGAATTTAACATCCTTGTAACTTTTTACTACATCCCATAATTCATCATTTAAACATTTTTTTAAAAAATTAAAAATTCATAGTTTCTTACTTATTCAGGTCCCATAAAATAGTTGAGCTGTCTTGACTGCCACTTGCTACTACACTAAAGCTGCGGCAAATACACAAACTAGTGATTGCACTAGAATGACCCAATAAAGTAACTGGGTCGCTTCGAAAATCCAATACTCCTTTCCCAGGATCAAATTTATACTCAAAGACCACCAGCTTGCCTGAGCAGTGGCCTAACCATAGCTGATTGCAGTCTGGTACACTGGCACATATGCAGATCTAAACAAAAAAATATTAAAACATTAATATCTTTAGAATCATCATCAATAAGTCATGACAAGTTATTAATAGTAAACATTTCAAAAACTAAATATTTTTAACAATAAAAAAATCACTAAGTAATCAATTTTACCCTATCTTTGCATCTGTAATAATTTATACAAACCTATTTATTTTCTTCTTTCATATAAAAATTAAATATATTGTCATTAAATTACTTCTATTTGAATGGCAGGACAAGGTGAAATATGCAAGAAATCAACAGTGTATAGGATGTATAGTGTATAGGCTGCAGTCTACAAGATGTATGCAAGTAATCTCAAATTCAGACTAACAAAACACAGTAAAGAAATAATGGATTTTTGGTGGCGGAGATGGTGGGCACCAGCCAACTTGAATGACCCTGGAGTCCAGTCATCATGGTGCGCACCTTGCAGAACCAAAAGATTTGTTTTTGGAGTGTTGTGAATGAATGAGAATTGAGAGATGGTTTGTGTTCCCTGGATTTGCATTGGATTAAAAACGTTAATTGAGATGACAACAAAAAGCTCTAAGCTCATCTGCTTTGGCTGTGCACGTGTCTTCTTCTCATGAGCAGAACCTCGACATGAACAACAGACTTAAGGATTGTGAGGTTCCACTATCTCTTTTGTGACTTATATAGATAGTTATATAGTGTTTGTTTCGTTAGTAATACCGATTGTCTTATTCAAAATAAATGACATGCCAGTTTATAAATGTAATGCAAAGGAGTGGAAATCATTTACTAGCATTAATTGCAGGGCTACATATCATACATCAAATTTGGGGAGAAAAAAGTGACATGTATAAGCAGCACTAGGATCAAATGTGAAACAACTGAAGATTTGAAGGTTGATTGGTAAAGGAATTCCAAGAACTTACAAAATCTATTAAATGAAATGAAATGAAAAAAAAGTAATGTTCTATTAGAAAAAAAGATTGGATGGCTTGAACAGGGTAAAGCAAATTATGTCAGTTATGCAGACATTACTTTACAAAAAGGAGCTACAAGTTTCACCTCTGATCATCAAGAGGACTTGGCTGAGAAAGGGAACATTGAAGCTAAAAACAGAATGGTGATTATTACTTGTAAGGACACAGAGCAAAATGAGTGGATGAAACCAGAACTGGAAATATTACTTTGGGAAAAATTTACTATTGAAAATAGGAAGTAAGTTAAACATAGAGTCAAAATAGTGGGATTCATAAATGACTTTGATATGCAGAGTGCTGAACGTGCCCTGATAAAACTAAATTTTAAAGAATGTGATTTGGACAGATTAAAGATCTCGAGCAGATACTTTTGCAGAGACAGAATAACTGCAAAAGGAACACAGATAAAATATTGATTAAATTAGAACCCTCTTTGTATCATAAAGTAGTTTATATTGGAAGGTACAAATGTAAATTCTCTGAAGACTTCAGCCTGAATTGCTGTTTTGAACATCATGCCTATAGGCACAATGCAAGAAACTGCAGGAATAAAGAATAGAGTTGCTGAGTCACAAGATTAAAAAATGTGACAACGGATTAAAATAAAGGGTAAAAATTGCACCAATGCCAGTAAAAAGTAAAATACAAAATATAATGCAAATCATTATGGCTACAAATAAAAAAGAAAGTTAAACATAAACATTTGAGTGAATAAAAATTTAATTGTTAAGCACTGAATCACAGAGATTAACTAATGTCACCATCTTTTAAAACAAAAATTACAGTCATATTTACAAGCTACTTAAACGTTAAATATTTTATCAATTATCAGCAAAGAATTCTTATTTGCATATGATACCAATTCATGTGATTTGTTCAACTGATGCTGCTCCTGTCTTATAACAGAGACCGGATTTTTATGTTATTACACAGTCTCCCTACTTACCGTTTTTTGATTATATATTTAGTACTATTCAATTTTCTTCAATTTTATTAAAACTTTTTATGAAAAAAAGTATTTTTAAAAAATTAGCACTTTCTTCTACTTAACTGTGACATGCTGTCTATTCGAGTTTCGCTATGTAAAGATGAGATTGGATATTCTCATAGTTCGGTGCACCTGCTGCAGTTGTCTCAGTGGCAGGCAGTATGTGTCAGCAACTGAGATCATTCACACTTTTAGATGTGAAAAATATCATTGATATCATGTTTTGTGACCTTTAACCCTAGTTTCTGAGAAACTTTGGCGATCGCCGATGTGTAACACCTCAATGAGGATGCTGAAGAGATTATTTGCTGGTCATAGATATCAGCAGTTTGTACAATAGCTGCTATTGCATCTAGTCTGACTGGATCTGACTCAGGTCTTGGATAGAAGTAGGTGAAGCTTTTACTACTGACAGGAAAGTGGTATGGTGCAAGTGTAACTTGAGCTCACTAAATAATTTTTAAAATATATGAATTATTTTTAAAATTTGTTTGGGAAACTTTTATAATTGTAATTTTATATCATGTAAATAAGTTTTATAATTAGTGTTTTTTTAATACAACATATATCCGATTTTACATATTTATTACACATTACATATTATATATATATATATATATATATATATATATATATATATATATATACACACACACACATACATATATATATATACATACATACATACATATATACAAATGTTTTACAAATACAAAAATAAAATACAAAAAACTTTAGGGGGAACTGTAGGAAAAACACAAGTACAACGTGAACACACAGAAACATCCATGTCTGAGGTCTGATTCAAACCTGTGACCCTTCGAGCTGAGGCAGCTACAGCCCTTCAGTTAGAAACCTTGGCTACCCAGGCCAGCAATGCACAGAACTTATCATACAATGCTATGATTAATTAGTTAATCTTTAATTTTTAACTGAATTAATAACAGAAAAAGATCAAATAAAAGGGGACTTCGATGTCTTCAGGGTTTACCAACTGCACTGTTCAGTGTCATTCAGCAACTTGCCGCAACTTCCACTTTGCTACTATGTGAGTAATAATAATAATAATAATAATAATAATAATAATAATAATAATAATAATAATAATAATAATAAAGGTAATAACAATAATAAAAAGTAACTCACAGGATCAAGTCCTCCAGACTTGACAACAGGCCATGGAGGTTGTTCTTTCTTAAGCTTTGCTCTGATGATTGAATCTGAGTGGCCCCAGGTAACTAAAGCTGCACCCAATACTGAAGTTGTATTTATCATGCTTAGACCTAACAAAAAATTATGGATCAATTTAAGTCAATCAATGAACTTATTTAATTCACACATGCAAGTTTGTATTACTTAAGATAGTGAGTACCTTTTTCTTTACTGTAACAAAGAAGCAAAGATGTTTGAGGAGCAAGACCAAAAACGTCATTAGTCAGTAGAGGCACCAAACTTGCGACAGGTGTTCGATGTTGGTGTTTCCACACAACAACAGGTTCAGGATCAGAAGGAGATCCAACATAACTTCCCCACACTAATCCTTTCACACCAGTAATAACAGTACGCTGAAAAGAAATTGAATATTAATTAACATTTTAATAATATCAATTTTAACAATCACTAGATTAACATTCCCACCATTATAATCATTACTATTGCACATAATCACTAATATCAGCAACCCTTGAGATGGTTCTCCAGTCTCAACCAAGAGGCATTTGACGTGGCACATCACGGTACCTGTGCATATGTATATACCGAAATTGTAGAGAGTATTCAATGGCTGGAGTGCTCATGGGGATGCTAACTCATACACAATATTACCATAATCCAAGACCGGGTGGATGAGGGTCCTATATAACCGCAAAAAACATTCACAGTTCGCATCTGATGCACTACTACTGATTCGGAGGAGGTTTGTTGGTGACACAGAAAAGCTCTTCAGTTTGTGTTTAGATGAAGTTCAGATCTCGTCAAATGTACGGTGAAGGAAAGTTGCAGACTCCAAAAAGAAGTTGGTGGACAGAAGAAAAAGATTTGGGTCATTAAGTTGGTGATGGATTCTGTAGAAACATTTTGAGATGGGGAACTTGAATTCAGTTTTACAGCTCCATTCATCTAATCAGTCAAGAGCAAGTTGCAATTGCCTTTAGATAACTTGTATGCTTTAAATGTAAAAATGGAAGTCATCAACGAAGGTGATGCTTTCACAATGCTCGTATGACTGCTATACCACTGATATCAATTTGACCCTCAAATTGATCCCTGTGAGAGCCCATTTTCCAACTAATGGCAAAAAAAAAGCCTTCATACAGGCAGATGCGGAAAGAGCTCGGAGAAAAAAACAACAACCAAGAACAATTGGAATTGTCCCGTAAGTCCCAAGAATGCAGGATGCCAAACTTCCGAGGCAGTGTTTAGACTTTGTTAACATCAAAGAAAATGGCTGCAAGATGTCAGAGCATGTGAGATTGGCTGCAAGAAGTGGGATCTGCGTAGCTAAGGTGACTTGGAGGTCCAGGGTTGACTGGTACCTTCAGAAACCACTCTGGACACGTGTCAAACAAGTTTCATTATTTCAGGAGCATTTCAGCAAGTAGACAGCTATTTCTTTCTGGGGGGGATCGAGATTGGGATTGTCTTATCCTTTTCCTCTTTAAGGATTGCAATGACACTGGCTTCACGCCAATTTCCAGGAATGTTATGTTCAACCTAAATCCGAATGAAGAGGTGAGGAAGTATTGTGACTTTTTCAGTAGATGTTTTAGCATTTCATTGTGAATCTGGTGAGATTTTGGGGCAGACTCAATAGCACAAGTGATGGTAGAGGAAAATTTCTCCCTAGAGCAAAAAATGTTACAATCTTTCTCCACACCATTTGTAAAATACAATGTACAACTGTATGTGAACTGTATTGTGAGTGTGATTGAACTGTAGTGTGAGGAACTGGAGATGTTCCCATACTTGGAAGACGGTTCCTTAAAATCTCAGGGGGTAAGGAGATTTTTACTTCCCAGCAACTCTTTGACAGTTGGTGGGGGAATTTTCCTCTGATTTGTTGCTCATGTAGCTGTGCTTTACTGTGTGATCGTGTGGTGTGCGTGCGTGATCGTGTGGTGTGCATGCGCGCACGGTGTGTATTGTGTGTGCGCGCACGGTGTGTATTGTGTGTGCGCGCACGGTGTGTATTGTGTGTGTGCATGATGTGTATTGTGTGTGTGCATGATGTGTATTGTGTGTGTGTGTGTGTGTGTGTGCGCGCATGGTGTGCATGTATGGATGGTAGGTTCAGTCGTATGTTTACAGTTTAAAGGTCAGTTCGAATGGCGTGTTCTTCAGAGAACAGGGAGTCACTTCAGAGTCAAAGGATAATCACCAGAGCAGTTTACACATTGTGAGCCAGTTTCACATGGAGAATCATGACCACAGCTGACACTTGAAGCAGCGCAGAGGATTCAGCACATACTGTCACAAGCTCAGATATGTCCCACAAGATATCTTCTCTGAAAGAAAAGGATGGTCAGAGTTGAGAGGGGAGGGGGAGTACCACATTCACTTTCCACTGGAACCTGTAAATATCAGTAACCCCCTCTGACTGGAAAAAGGTTTTCTGATCTTCCTTGGATTCAATAGCAAAATCAAATGTGTGTGTTTTCCCACACCCTTACAGAGATTTATGGTAATGTGGGTGTACATCTGAATCAGCAGGCCAGCTATTTCCTTTAATTTAATTATTTTGTCAAATCTACTTTCAAAGAGAATAGTTCCAGCACGATGATGAACCACTGCCTGGAATTTCCCTAATTTTTCTACAGCCAGATAGGTTTTAAAGAGTTAATGCCCTTTATTGTTTTGACTTATTCGCTGCATGACATTACCAAAAACCAAGGCTTTAGCTTCTCACTTTCCTTACAAAAAACCGGTAAGGTGACAAAACTGACAATCCTCTCATTTAGTACTTCTTCTTAACGGAAAAAGGCAAGTGTTGAGGTGTGATATCCATAAGAGGGATACACAGTTTGTTCTCACAGTCCCCACTCACCAAGAACAACAGGGGATACTCCCATTGGAGTGCCTGGGTTGCCACGGGGATATAGCAGGGAGTAGCATTGCTTCTTCCCTGACGCATACTCATAATGGGACCTAGTTTGAGGCGTATCAAGGAGACCGAGGTCAAAGGTAGGGTTTTGAGGCATGCAATACATATTTACCACAGGATTCACAGATCAAACACACTACTCTAATATTCCAGTTTGACATGCAGAGTCAACACATGGATGGGCATAAAGCTTACAAAAGACACTGAAAAAGAAAAAAAAAAGGTGATAAAAGAATGAAGAGACACCACACACACACACGCGCGCACACACGCACGCACGCACGCACACGCAAGCGCGCACACGCAAGCGCGCGCACGCACGCACGCACGCGCACACACGCACGCGGACATGAACTGACCCACCTCAATGGGCCAACTGTATTATTCTCAATTTTGTTTCACAAGAGACTACAATTCTTTTTCATTTTTCACTCATAGCACACTACAAGAATTGTACTCACTGTTAAAATACAAATTACAGAACATTATATAAATGAGAGAACATGTATACAGAAGACAGATGGACTAAAACAGATTGTCAAGGGGTAACAATGGTTGAAGAGTGAATCAGAAAATTATCAAATTTGGAGAAGTCCCAATATTCCTATGAATCTGTGTCAATATTGCCCATTGGACACATCAGCTCACTCTTACTGCAATAACTAATTTATACACTCCTGTGTTCAGTTTTCCAATGTATAATTTTATTGTTTTGACTGCTTTGGTTAAACTGGAGCCCTGGTTAATTGGATTTTGAATAATCACAGCAATTGTCACCATCTTGAAAATTATTTGTAGTATACAATTGTGTACTAGAACTTACTAATCACATATTGTTAGATGAGAACATTTTTAATACATCATGTTATATTTTAAGTGTGCATCAATGCTTATTAAAATCCACTATATTATATTACAGGGAACCCTTGTATTTTCTGCTCAATGGGGTTTCTTCTAATTACCAGATCATTGTCTGTGATAAAGGAAAACTGAATTTTTCAATGTGAAATTGAGGAACTTTTCTTCATCCAATAATCAAATTATTTTTAAATGATAAGTTATTAAGTTAATTAAGACGGAGGTAAGTATCTTGAGATCTCCAGTGAAAGGCATGCAAATCATATCAAAATTCTTCCGTTTCCCAGATCATCCCTCTTTGCTAATATTTTGCAAAAAGCATAATGCAACTCACTAAACACTTACCATAGATTGAACAGATGTATGAGATGACAGGGACTGGACAACCATAGGATGTGCCGAGCGAAATAACTGACGTGGAGTCTGACCATAAGTTCGAACCATTGTTTCCCATGCAGTACGTTCCAAAGGATCCTTAATAGTTTCTACATTGAAACCATAGTAAGTCTAGCAAAATGGTGAGAACAAAAAATATTTTTATATACATTTTTTATACATTTGAATACATTACACACAAGAAAAAAAAGTAATGCCTAGTTTAATATAAGGCATTGTGCATAATGAACTATCAAATAAAATAATTTTCATTGTCATATTCATTATACATTCGTTTCATTATTATGTATTAAATTAAAAGCATTTTCATTTTCAATTTCCGAGTTTTTTGCTGATAAACCTGTAGATACCAAATAAAATTTTCATGCAGAAAAAATATTAAATTCAGTATAATAAATTAGTTACTTTTTATTTCATTTCTTTAGCTTTAAGAAGTAAATATATTAAAGTGTTAACGAGTGACATTTGAACAATTAGAAATTTGGACTCTCTAATTTTCACCTTAATTTATTGCTTATTCATGGTATATTACTTAATCACTCAGATTTATATACTTCAATTTATAATTACAAATTCTATAAAAAAATGATGCATTTTAATACAGTGTAAATCACATTTACTTACTGCAGGATGAAACACATTAATAGCATCTACTGCCATCTTTCCTGTTTGTTTGTATCCAAACACCAAGTCTATCCAATGGGGCAGGTTTTCTCGCACAAAGTCGGATTCTAAAGCTTGCCTATGTACTAAAATAAAACGACGAGGATCCCCATCACACCATGGAGGAAGTGAAACATGGTGGACTCTTTCTCCATTTTGGCGAATTCCAAAATTAAAACCTATACAGAAAGAAATAGATTAAGTTGCAAGACACATTAATAATCTTTCATTATTCTAAAAAGATATACTTGTCAATGACATGCATTATTAAATATAGCTCTATTTCATTAGAGCAAAGAAAAATTATTACATAAAGTAAAACAAATCAACTTAATAACAGTATAAGTTAACACACTTTAGATACAAACAGCAGCTTCCCAGTTTTTTTTTATTTTCTTTTATTGTTTATGAATTCTTTGAGATATAAGCTGTTCTAATTTACAGTAAATAACTTTAAGGTTATAGAGGTAATTTTTTGCATTGATATTAAAATTAATCATTACCTTCACTATTCAGCAGGAATTCAGAAAGGAAGAAAAATTCAGGAATAAGTTCTTTAACATCAGTAGTGGAGTCTGAACTAGCAAGTCTCCATGTCGTATACAATGAGTGAAATGTCCGATCAGGCAAGTCAAAGTTGTTGTCTGGAAGTGAACAATTTTTAATAGTGTGAAATATAATAACAAAACTACAAATAAAAAGTTAAACAAAATAAATGAACAATTACCTTGATATGTTAAAAACATACGAGTGAAAGGTGGCAAGCGTACTAAAAAGTGTAAAACTGTTCCTGAGTTGGAGTAATGTGACCCATAATGATATGGTTCTTGATTTAATGACACTAAATGTTGACTCTCTTGTAGCTCTTGTTTCAAATACTATAAAAAAAATGCAACAAATAAAAATTTAATCTTTAAGTTAATTGCTGATTTTGTAAATCATATTTGTTAAAAATTTTCTCCCACCGAAAATAATATCAAAAAATTGAAAATTGTATATCAATACTTCAGCAGATGCCACAAATAAAAGCTTCCCTTAGAAGAACAACTGCTGCACACATCTCTTCTCGCGACAGAGTAAAATAACTAAGTAAACCTATTTATTTATGTATAAGAAACATTAAAGATACTTACATTATAGTTATTTATATAATGTTGTTCATTCTTTTTATCTTGAACAGCCATAGGTTTCTTGAAATTCCTGTAAAAATTCATAAACAAGTGAAATACAACATCATAAATAAAAATATTCAGTACACAGTCAATAAAGAAAATAACCAATGCTTGAAACAGCTTCAAGAACAAAAAAATTATACCTGTACGCTTTAGGGTCATGAAGATTTAAAGTTGAACTAGTGTAGTCTGATAGGACAAAGGGAAACACTGGATACTGCATAAGATCATTAAATGAGCGACCAGCCATTTTATTGAGCTGAGTAAGGTACTCCCAATTTGTGATAAGACCCTCACGCCACATCTGAACAACATCACTTAAATTATCTCCAACAACTCTGTTGGGGAGATGGCACTGAGAAAGCTCCCAAACAAATGTGTCACGTTCCTACAAAGGAAACAATGAGAAAATATTTACTTGCTTAACTTTGTTAAATGTATTATGAATATTGATATTAACTCCAGGGAAATGGGTACCAACCTTCACTGACTGAAATGCAACAAGGTAAGTCTTTCCATTCATTAGGAATATTTCCAATGCTCTTTCTTGCAGCTGGAATCTTCTATTATGAATTTCCTTCACATTCTCAAACTGCCATGCTGTTGATGACACATCCAAACTGCCCGCGGTAACCTACATACATTTTCAAAGGTCAGCTGGTAGTCACCAATTAATACCAAATAACCTAAAATACGATGAACAATTCAGAGCAAAACTGGACTAACCCTCTTTGTGCAATGAAGTTAATGACATAAAAGATTTAAAAAGCAAGATTAAAAGAAGAGAGTTTTCAATATTTTTTGAATTTTCATTATTCATTTTCAAATAATTACCCTAATCAGTTCTTTCAATGTATGGCTGGTTAACAGATTTCACTGTGCGCAAAAGCAAAGTGAAATGATCTAGTTTTGTTCTTGCAAATTCACACATCATCATAAAATTAAATATTTTTATCTTGATTTAAATATTAGTGAGTCAGCAAAGAAGAAAATTATACGTTCCATTTCAAGGTTTAGAAAGGTTAATGAAAATTATTATTAATCATTTCATCCACCAGTTTCACATGATGAGAGGAGTTTTATTTTTAAAATAAAAACTGCGGCCACAGATCATGAACGTGAAAAAATTGAATTGATATCCTACGAGAAACAGCAATTAAAACTAGTGGTGTTACAGTATTGCACAGACTTTTTTCTATTAGTTTTCTATTTCCTTTGGTCTCAGCTAGCTACACCAACTTGCCAACTGCCATCTAATGCTGCCCAAAGTATATTTTTTTGAAATTTGCTTAATTTTTCAGTTTTGGAAATATTATTTTATGTATATTAAAGAACAGTAAAACCTCATCCTAAATTGCAATTTTCTTTATAAATTTGCAGCAATTTTTAAGAAAACCGTGCTTAAGCACTACTGTAGACTCCAAATTTGAAACTGTTTTTCATAGAAAATTTTTGAGTTTTCGATAAATTTCATTAGAAGTTATTTGTAGTACTGTAACACACAAATACAATTGTCTTTATGAATTGCTACAATTTGCGTATTAACGGCGTGACAGATCATTCAAAAAAAGTATCTTTGTGCAATTTTTGGAAGAGAAAAGAAAAAGGAAAACTGAAATGAACTTGATGTCATGTAAAGAGTGCAATTAGCACTATTCGCTTGAAAATGGCATTTGAGCATTTTTGTAAATGTGTAATTTTGTGCTAGTTGTCACAGAAAATGGTTGAGTTTTTGAGAAACTTTATAAGACATTATTTAAAGCACATGTACTCATATATATAATAATGTGAACACATTACTGCTAATATAAATATTAACAACATGAGAGACAAGTCAAAAAAACTTTTGTAATTTTTGAAAACACAATAGAATAGAGCATTAAGGCGTTTATGTCATCTTATTGAGTACATATAGCACTATCTCTACCAAAGGCTTAAAGAAAAAAAAATTGGAACAGTTTTTGAGCGGAAATGACCATTCCACTGACACAGAGGTTATAGGAGCAAAACTTAAATTTATTCACATTTTTTATGCCCCTTCTTCTGGAACTTGCCCATATTCTGTCTGCCCATATTCTGTCATCAACACTTGTACCATAGAATCCTGGATACCATATCCAGGATTTATTTATTACACTTTCCCATTTGCACTTTACTTTGCCCCCAATAGCTCTCTCAGCAGCACTAATTTCACTTCAGCATCTTGCACAACTGACACTTGATCTGTCAAAGGTTTTCCTTTGCATTCCAGTTGGGTTATTATTAAGGGTAGGAATAAAAAATTTGTATTTTGCTGGGCTGTATTTTGTAAGCTTTACAACACACTTTCTGCAGTAGGTTTTCGCCTGACCAGTGACTTTCCCGGATTGTGTACACAACACTCTCAGCAATAAGCCTCAACCTGTCAACTCCACTGAGAATGGGTGTAATTGCCTAAGAAGTGCATGTTGATCAGAGACAAGCATGAAGCATCCTCTTTATATTGACTTGTAGAGCTCCTTATGTTCAGTTGTTGGGTGGGACATTTCAGAGCGTTAAGTCAAAAAAATAAGTCAAAAATATTACAATTTGTTCACATTATTGTATTTATAAGTACATACATTTAGTTAAATAAAGTCATAAAGTTTCTCAAAAACGCTACAGTTTTTTGTGAATACTAACTCAAAAGCATTTTCAGAAACATTCAAACGCCATTTACTCAAAAATGGCTCAACATTTTTTCTTCAAACATTTCAAATGGATAGTGGTATTTTAACTCTTTAATATGATGTAAAGTTAATTTCGATGTTTTGTTTTTTCAAAAATTACACAAAGATACATTTTTTGAATGATCTGTCACACTGTTGATATGCACATTTCCAGCATTTTGTAAACACTATTGCATTTTTGAGTTAAAGTACTTAAAATTATTTCAAATTAAATTTTTCTAAAACACTCAAATATCCTGTGAAAAAGAGCTTCAAATTTCGAAATTACAGTAGCTTCTAAAACACCAGTTTTTTCTTTGAAAACCGCTCCAAATTTTTCAAAGAAAATTGCCAACCAGAACGACAGTTTTACTGTTCTTTAATAATCTTAAAATAATATTTCCACTCTTCAATTAGTAGAGATTGAGAGTGAGAAACCGAAAAATTAAGAAAATGTCAAAAAAAAAAAAAAAAAAAAAAAAAAAAAAAAAAAAAAAAAAAAAAAAAAAAAAAAAAAAAAAAAGTACTTTGGGCAGCGACAGATGGCAGCAGGTAAGAATATGTGGCAAGTTCGATTAGCTAACTGAGACCAAAGGAAATAAAAAACTAATATAGAAAAGTCTATGCCATTCTGTAGAACCATAAGCACCAGATGCTAAGGAAGTGTTAGTTTAGTTAGTCCAGTTTTGTGCCAAGGTCAACTTTTATAAAATTTATTTCATAACTTGTGAAAGTAGAATTGTCTTCACAGGACACCAAAAGAGAAGGTGTGAATTGTGAATGTTAGATTTTAAAAGTATATTTTCAATATAATAGTTATTTAAACCGGGGAAATATTTTGAAGTCATATTTATGGTCAAATTTTCATATTTTTTTCGTCATAAATGTTTGCATATTTCTAACATTTTTATGTCATAAACATTTGGGTCCTAATCATAATTTTTATATTTAAAATGAAATATAACTTTAAAACAGAAGTGGACTATTCTGTGTTTCTTCAGAGCAAAATTGGAGTATTCCACAAAAATGTGTGATATTTTTAACTACAACATTATTTCTTTACCTCTATCAGAAGCAGACCTTACAATTACATGAAGACCTTAAAGAGAACCAGAGGGAATGGCTTTCACATGTGCGAAGAATGCAAGCAGAAAGATTTCCTAAAGCAGTTTACAGTATAAACCCATAGGGCTTAGAAATATAGGAAGACCCAACAAAAGACGGATTGCTCAGGAACATCTAGAGGAATATTCACCAGATCTACTGTCTTAACAGGAACAGGCACCAGACCTACTATCCTGCTGTTGATGATGATGAAGACGACCTTACAATAGCCCTGAAGTCCAGAAATTTTAAACTAATAAACTCCAATTGACATTAAAGAGGACATCAAAATCATGAATTTATGGCCTCAGGTTTCTCAGAATGCATTGGGGTAGGGTTGGTCCACTTTGTTCTGAACACCTCATCTATGTAATTTACTTACTTCAGACAAGTCAGTGCCAAGAATACTATCATCAGCAACAAAATACAAACAACTTTCACCAATAAGTAACTCCCCAGGAACTTCATTGGCTGGTGTAATAACTCTAGCTGGACACATATGCTGGATTTTCTCATTAGTATGCAATCGTTCTATAAGCACTGTAGAAGTGGATGACTGCTTATCTTGTTCAAACAAATAAGATAATGGATCTTCATTCTTTGCTAGATCTGCTGCAAAAATTACAAAAATATAACAAAAGCTAATGAAATTATTCAAATGGAAATGAATTTGTATACTATTAAACAATTACAATAGCTGTCCAATATAAAACATTTTTTGCGAAGCATTCTTTATCCTTGCTATATTGATATATTTTAGGATACAAATGATTTGCATTGTTTTTCTTGTAGGAGGAAAAATACATGTAAAACATGGTATTATAATTCAACACGTACATACATGTAAAACGGAACATTATAATTCAATAATTAAAACAAAAATCACTTGTGGTGTGCAATTAACTCTAAATCAAACTTTTGAAGTGAAAATTTAATGCAACGTCATTTTTTTGTGGGAAAAATGTTTCACCACGTTATACTATTGGTAGCTTGCTATAGTTGCTAAATTTGCTATAGTGGACATCTATTGTGCAAACATGAAAACGGTCATTAGAGGCAAAGGCAAATGAAGGAAAAATAATTACAAGATTTCTGCTGTGAGCTAGACATGAGATATTTGCTCTGAATGCCCAGATGACATCTCTGCAAGCGGTTTCTCACTCTTGCTGGGCCTTCTGTAGCATCTAATTGCCATGACTGTGGATATGATTCAGAAAAGAACCACACAGCTCTCTCATGTGTTAGTTGTTGGACAATCTTTTGCCACTTAATGCGTATCTGGACATTCTCGCTATATGCCAGCTTGATATGCTCCATGAAAACTTTGCGCTCACTGTTCTGAGCCTCCACTACCAGACGTGTAATGCTCATTGCTGCTTCAGCCACAGTTTTCATTAGACCTTCAAATTTATACACACTCCTGCAGCAAATGAACATTGTAAATAATTAGAAAAGTCTTTAAATAAATTCTGTTAATGTACACATGGTAAAAACAGTCAAATGATCTTTTAACTCTTTAGTAATAGAGCAGAAAATCTTTACTTGAACAGTTGCACAGGGTGCCTGCAGCATCCCACAAAAAAAATTTAAATTTTAATACATGCATAATATGAAATTAACAATTCAGTTGGAAAGAAGGATAGCAGAAAAAAAATCAATGTGTAATTTTCAAGTAATTAATGAAAATGAATTTTATAATGAAATGGTATTTTAAAATGTAAATTGCAACATTAATGAAACTACCTAAAACTAATTTGTTGTTTATTATTTAACTTCACATACAATTTTAAACAAGTCATGATGCGCTATTCCCAAATTGTGATTTAGAATAGTTCACCACAAAATTTAAGAGCTTAAGAATCGCAAAATTTAAGAGTCACAGTGACTGAGACATTCCACCTACAATAACATTTCATTCCAGGAAAAACTGACGTGAGTACATTTTATCTTGCTTCAACAACAGGGATTCAAATACCATCCTGGAAAGGTATAAAGTAAAATCATAGAAGCGACACAGTTTTCCCCCAAAGTATGGTTTTCATAAAGATAGTTTTGATAAGGATGTCTCACATGACTTCATAAAGAGCTGAAAAAAGCTGTTGCATTAACAAAAATGCCAAAAATTATGCTTTGTAAAATTTGATGAATTTCCTTTTTCAAAATTTTAAGCATACGAATTTTAACTTTGTACTGACTACATTGCTTCGTCATGTGCTACAAAGAAATAATACATGGAATAAACACATTTAACAAATAATTATTTATGAGTATTTTTTAAAGTTTCTTTAATAATATTGGTGCTATACTTCATGAAATTGAATATTCAGCTAATCTATGTGAAAGAAAACTTTAAGGGATCTAAAGATAATCAAGGTATTAAACAATTACTGATACACATGCACAAGACTCATTAACAAAATATTTCAGCTGACAACTATTATTAATTTTCAAAAAGATACTCAAAAAAGCAGCTGTATGATGAATGTACATACCTTAACGTAGCACTTTCATTGTGCTTCTCCCAAATTTTTGGTTGTCTTTCTAGCTCTTCCATCAACAAACGAACTTCATCTTGCCAGGAACATTGTTCAGTATTTCCTCCTATGCCCCAAGTCTCAAGCTGATCTTTAAGCTCTTCACAAACACGCAAATCTGCTGGTGCTAACAGGTTTTCAGTGCTATTCATGAGTTCCCACAAGAAAAAAACAAATTTCTGTTCCATCTGAAAAGGAAGATATTCAATTATATGAATTTATTTCCTTCATTAAAATTCTAAAACAAAGAAATGGTAACATGGCTTGTTCCTAGGGATGCCTTTTGAAGGTTTTTCGATCAAGGATAAAAAGTGCTAAAAATCATGAAAGGAAAGTCAATGCCTTTCATTTTACAGTTTTTTAATTTCCAAGCCAGCCCTAATGCCCAATAATCATTAACATTTTCCTCCAAAAACAAAAATTTGTATGCTAGTCACTTTCAACATTATTTTCTCAGATAAAAGGAGATGGGTTAAGAGCAATGAGGGATTGCACACCAAATGCAGTTTGCAATACTTGTATTTAATCACTTGCACACAACATTGAAAAGTAGTTGATTGTATTTTTAAATTAATTTGAAGTGTAAGCCAAAAACAGAATCTCTAAGGATATGTTTTACTTACTTGGGAATGGGTATGCAACATAGCTGAAACAAGTTCTTTACAACGTTGTTCGCCCCTTAAAGAATGTACACAAAACATTCGCAACTTCACAGGCTGAGCTGGTGATAACAACCACACCAAGAGCCTAGCACTTTGCACACGCAAAGTATCACGAGCTGCCCACATCACTTGACTCCAAACAGTTCGTTGCGATGCTCCCCGTTTTTCCAACACAGTGCGCAATCCCTGAAGTAGGGATGCCAGCAGACGTCGAGAAAAATTGTGTTCAATTGCATTTGTTACAGGACTACGCCCACCTACCAATTCTGAAAACATAAGCAAATTGAGAAAAATGGCGATTGGTAAAGTATCACAAAATAGGAAAAGATGACAAAACAAAAAGTGAACTTGAAAGGTTAATGCTGACTATTAAAATAAAAATGTAACTGAATTTTTTCAGAATAGAGGTATAATTTCTGCAAGCCTTTTTGTCATGTTTTTTTTCTTCTTCTTTTTTTGCAAGACTTGGAATTAGTGATTTCATTTTCCCCTCAAGTCAAAAAAGTAACTTTTCTTTATTCACAAATCAATCACCCAAGAATAAGCCAAGAAGAAGAGAAAGGTACAAAGAAAGAATGATAAGGATCCAAAATACCAAATTTTCTAAAAGGATTGCTTTAAATTTTGAAACTATTGACCCCAAACTGTCAAATATTTGTAATGTAATTTACAAGGACCCTGCTTATTTCTTTTTTGTAGGAGTACAGTTCCTCTTGAACTAACAAATAGCACCATTAACTCAACAGTGATCTGTCTGGATCATCTTTGTCCCCTCCGCATCCTACAGAGGAGACTTTGTAAATTTAACATTGTGATATCTACATAACAAAAACAGCAATAAATAAAGTAAAAAATTAGAAGAGAGAGTCATTTAAAAGTAGTGATTGTACAGTGGTAGCATGTCACAAGAAACAAATGTTAACTTACCAACATTAGTTAGAAAATCCACTGACTTGACTATGATGTTTTTCAGTCTGTCATTTAGTTCGCTTCGAGGAACTTCTTTGCTTTGTACACCAGTGCTAGCTTTACCAACAGCACTACCACCACTAGATGTGCTCGAATATATTTGATGGGCAGATGATGGCTGACCATGTTCTAGTTTTGGAGGTTCACAAGATGAATGATAGAGCTGATCTTCGTAATTACCAGAAATAACTGAAAAGGTATTGCAAATTAATATTCTGAAAGGCAACTAAAAGATTTTTTTCCTTGTTAGGTACAGATCCACAAGGAGGGAAATGAGGGAAATGAGGGAAATCCCCCCCCCCCATTAATTTTTTCGGTGACTATTAATTTTAACTTGTCACGAAACTTTCAAACAAAAATATTTTCGGATAATTATTAAAATGAATAAAATCTTATCGCATATATATAGCCCGATACATTTTACAAAATTTGTTATGACACGTTCGATCAAAACATTTGGAATTTCCCCTCCCCAAATTTGTCTCTTGATCCGCCTCTGTTAGTGATAACCTACACAGTTTTCACAGTCTTGGGACTATTGTAACAAATTCAATCTGAAGATTTTAAAGTAAATACTACATATTAATGTGAAATTAAGGTTTTAGGGACCTCATGCAACAAACATACGTACGTAACTTCGCTCTTTCCACCCAAGCAATCTTGTAGTGCATATTAGTAATATATGTGGATCGGGACCAGTGACCCCAATTCACCATACCAGAAAGTTCACAATACATTTGAGAGAGTTGACTGTCATTACTGTTTGGATTTTGGTTTCTTTCTCTTCTTACAAACGCCTCCTCACAAAATGCAGGCAGAATGTTGATCAGGGGTTGAGTGAGGGTGGGAGTCCTCCTTCACAGTCATCCTACTACTTCACTAGTCAACCACTGCTGGAGAGATTGCTCAGCTGTTCAGTTGTTTCGAGCAAACCTCACCTGGACAAAGGTGAACAGGACGTCGCACAAGACATAAATCATGCTCGGACTTATTAGTAGTGTTACAGATCCCATTAAGTCCTGTGTGAGTGGAGGTGGAACCAAATAGGTTTGATGCACCCTGAATTTCCTAGTGATTATGACAGTACTAAGACTTTCAAATGACTGAAAAAAATTCAGGGGAGATCTTACTATCGGCGGCGGCGATGGTGAAACGGTTAAGCGTACCAGCAGTATTGGTATATCAGTTCATCGCACCAGGTTTGAAATTGAATTGAGCCGTTTGTTGGTGAACAACATCTGTAGTTTACCCATTGAGTGGTCAATAGCCGTAGCCAAATGAACTGAGCTTACATTCTTGAATGTTTTTATCTTCCTCAATACAGCTTAAATCACCACTACGAAATGATTCATCAATCTCGAGTTGAAGAGGCTTGTAAGATCAATGGATCTTTCACCACTTTGCCTCTTCTCATGCACGAAGGCAAGGTGAAGGTTCAATCTCCACAAGAGTCTGAGATATTCGTCTCCATTCATCTACAAGGAGCCCAACAAGTGGACACCACACTGAGGTGCCAGGGTTGACATACAGAGATGGTGGGGTTTGCCATAGCACTACTCCACCAGGGCTGCCCTCATTAACTTTAGGGCTTAGTACAAGACTTGATCTGGTCTGATCTGATTAGTAAAGGTGAGTTGGCCTCTGACTGCTTACCTAAAAAAGGCTGAGGCCAAAGGCAGCGATTTAGGCTTGTAGTTCACACTTCTACTCAATTACTAGGGTTTACACAACAGAGTTAAGACCCACATGATTCCAGCATTAGGGGATCATTTTGCATTCACACAAATGAACTTGCACTAATTCTACAACTCTTAGACCACTCATTCTCACTGACACAAGTCACCACATGCAGCAAACACATAGGTGGGAGTTCGGTATACAGGAAAGGTCAGTATAGCAGAATGAGAGTAAAAATGACACATGAAATGGAGAGAACAAGTATGACAGGTTCTCATCTTAGAACTGCTACACTCAAAACTATTTATAAAGTTTTATTTAAAATAAAACAAAAAACAACTAATCTTTCATGCGTTTTCAATATTTCAACTAAGAAAGTCTATCTTGTTCTTTAGCATGAAGGACTTCAGCCTGATGATTATTTCAGTATTTTATGTCATTTAAAAAATATTGCATAAAATATCTTGCATGAGTTAACAGTGTGAATTAGTAGCACCACCCAGCAATTGTGATCTGTTATTACCTGTATTTGTTTGTTGTATACTACAAAGCCCTGATGTAAGATCTATTTTTGGATGGAAACATCAGCAAGTAAATGAACATAATTATGTGAAAGTACAAAGACACTTTTGTGAGATCAAATTTCTTTCTATGATACAGAGCATCGTTAGGTAAATATAAATCTTTGATATGTGTTGGGAGAAAAGTTTTGTTGTGGTGAAAATATGAATGAAGCATTTGGTAACCAAATGAATCACAAATTATCAATATGATTAATTTGTTGCAGAAGTAATAATGTGCTATGCATATTGCACAACTTTTTGTTATAACAATAATTAATCCCTGTTTTGTTCACAAAGCAGGAGATCATGCAATATAAATCCAGGCAATCCTATTATCTTCAAATTCTACATTCAATAATATATCTCACCTGATGAGAAAAAGGAAGTAGGGTTCTTCAACTTTGAACCAAAACTTTGCACTGATGCTATCTTGTCCTGTAAAATATCCAGCGACCCTTCAAGGATGACACACTGAGTTTCACGCAGAGCAGTAACACATGTAGCATGTACTCCACAATTACTTCGTTCTGTTCTTTCCAAATAACTCAATTGCAGTTGTAAGTCATTTATCACCTAAGAAAGTTCAAATGAAAGTTCAAATAAAACTTCATTTATTTAGATGATTATGATGCAGAGAACAATGCAGAGAAAGTTCAAGTCAATGTGTTATAATTCTCAATACATGGATGATTGTATGATGAAAAATTGTATTTTTCAACATTTGATTTTCAAATATTGTTTTTACACCAACAATGAGAATTACTAATATGTCCCAATTACAAAGATTTACAAATTATTAAAAACAATTACATACCATGTTGTGAACACAAACACAGTTTTCCTATATTTAATTTTCACAACATTTCATGGATGATGATTCACATCTTCAAATATTAATCTCGGTCATCATTTAAATTACTTCTTATTCAAATTATCATTGCATTCCCATAAAGCACACTACGCCAAAGAAATATAATTGCTGTCATGCATGAAATATCACCAAAATGGAAATCATCTTAATGAGACAAATTGTTTACTAACAGAATACAGAATATTGACAGTCCAAGTAAATTCCTTTGGCATGGTATGCTTATAGGGAATGCAATGGTAATTCATACATGAAATAGTTTTAATGGTGACTTAGATATTAACACCTGAAGATAAGGATCAACATTTACCAAACTTGGTGAAACTTAAATATAAATAAACTGTGTTTGCTTTTGCAACATGCTTTTGTCTTTAATTTGATTGTCTTTAAGCTTCCTAATTCTAAGAGGGGCCTAGCTGAACTACACATTCCATTTTTTAACAATGAAGAGAAAACGTTACGTTATCGTGTCAGTAATTGTTTTAATGTGTCAAAAGTATTCGTTACTTGAAGAAATATTTTTTAAATTACTTAAGTTTCAATATATATAAAAAAAAAATTAATAACTCATTTCTAACACTGAAGATAGAACGGTGCAGCTGTGATAATTAAGAAATAAAAATTTTAAAAATGAGTGGTAAAAAATTTGATCTAGATAATATTGTGCACACAGAAAAAGTCAGATTTTATAAGTTGACCATAATCATAAATAAAATAACTTACATGTGACAGCAGGAGATTTGATAATTATGTATCATTTGTTTTCAAAAGTTCATTAAGAAATAGTACAAAAGCAGAAAGCAATTTTTTTTTGTTGACAAGATATAAATTCTTCCTCTTTTCATTATTTGTATACAAGTTTTTATTGGCAAGGAAAGAATAAAGTTAAATTTTCCCTCAGGGTCTGTGCAGACCCCTCTTACCATTGGACAAACGCTCAATATCATGGTATTAGGAACATAAATAATTTGGAAAAAACTAATTGGCTTTCAAGCTACTATCAGTTTGGTTTCTTCCAGTTTAACATATTACTAATATATTCATTTAAATTTTATTACTCATGGAATGAATTTATACATAAGAAAATACAAGAGTCAAAAGCTGACAAGAAAAAATTTGGACATTCCAAATATGGATCGGAAAACAATCCATGTGATAGATTCAGTACATCACCATGTGGCCTGTTTTCCTCAAAAACAGCTTTAGATTTAGATTTATTCAGTCAAAAAAACAGTAAAAACTGAATATGACATAGGGGGGAAAAGATTATCAGCGCACATTTTTTTGAGTTCCAGAATCCCTTCCTGTCATTTTAACTATAAATAGTTGAAAGATAAGTAAAAGTTTAACAAAACTAAATAAAAATAAATTTTAAAAATCACAAGCTTAGCAACACTTGAACTAGTCATTTTCATTTCTGAGTTATAGAAAACTTATTTGCATCGGTACACGAATTGCAAGTATGATTTTTCTGCATTGCTAACAAAATAGCAACTCGCCCTTACCTCTACTCTTACCATTCCAAGCAAAAGGAGAGTTCAACAAAATGTGCGCATAGTGAAGCTACATCAGTAAGTAAAGAAAAACAAAATGTGCGCATAGTGAAGCTACATCAGTCCAGAAGTAAAACAAGGGGCCATCGCAGCATTTGCTCAATGGATCAGGGAAACTGGACAAAAACTTGATCGAGATGGGGGACTTATTTGTCTGCTGCCATCGACAATATTTCATGGACGTCTAACAACTTTAATTTACCTGGCAGATTTGAAAAAAAACAATGTTTAATTCAAACAGCATGACACAAATTTGAAAGCTAGATAAAAGGATTCTCTCCAATGAAATCATAAGAGATCTGAATGCATACTTGCTGTGAACCTAATTATCTCTTAAGTGTGATACATAGAAACCAACAAAGTAACACGTCTTGTTTCAGAAAATATTGCTAATCAGAAATATTATGAATAATAACAATTAATATCATTCCTAAATTGTGACTGGATAAGTTTTAATTGCCAACCTGCATATGATGTGCTCCTGGGGTTCGTAAAACCTGTCCCACAATGGTCATCAAGAAAACCTGGACATCACCTAAAAGTAAATCTTGCTCTGAGATCCCACACAAATCACTAGGCTCTGGAGGCATATGGGCAACTGCTATGATGGTTTTCTCCAGAGATTCCAACAGGCCACAATCTAGGAGTGTTCGTAATGACTGCGACTTCAATGACTGAAATGGAACAGTAGCAATGAACAAAATGCAGCCAAGCAAAAAATTGTTTCGCTTGAGTAGGAGAGAGAGAGAGAGAGAAAGCAATATGTGAAGACTGATAAACAGGAGGCACGAGTCCAAGAGAGAGGTAGACAGAGGGAGGAGAGATAGAAAGAGAAGGGGCTCAGGAGAAGGAAAGAGTGAGATGCTCAGAAGAGGGAAAGAACAAGGAGGAGGTCAGAAGAGGGAAAAAGAGAAAGGCCAGAGACAGATGATGACAGAGGAGAGAAAGAGAATGGTGGCCAGCAAGAGGAAGGAAAGGACAGGAAGACCTACAGAATCTTCATCATGTAAGGGTCTTCAATAGCTCAGGGTATACTCGCTACCACTCATCCAATATGCCATTTATGGCAAGCAGATGTGACTTTTGTTCCATTAACATTTACTAAATCAGACCAATTAAGTTTAAGTCATAGTTATAGTTGAACAAGTTGCATTTTATTATTCCCCAAGATGCCTTAGAGAACAGTACACGCTTTGCATGGTATGGTCATGAAAATGAGTGAAGCGCTTTCCTACTGCGCACAATTGTCATATGCTATTTCTAGCCACCAATGAAAGAATGTTTCATTTAAATCACTAATGATAAGTTTTAACATCTGGAGGAAATTCAATGTCATATCTTCAGCACTGCTGACCTGTGGCCACGACAATTTAAACGAATCCCAGCAAGTTGCTTCTCAACACAAGTTACATCAGGACATATAATAATAGATCTTTGAAAAATGCTAAAACACTAACACTACCAAACCCAATGAATTTCAATGGGTCATATTCATGATAAAGAAAAAAATTAATAAAAAAAAAAATAAAGAGTACTACATCAAATTGACCCCACACTAAGGAATTCAAAATTATTTTGACAAAACAATAAAGAGAGTATTTACCTTAGTGAAGACTTCTCGCAGAAATATGATTAGGTTGTGAGTAAGAGCTGTGTCATGAACACAACGGGGCAATAGAGCAAGTAAAGGTGGAAAACTGTTTGCTTGTAAAAAAGTTAAATTTGTGAGAAGCGAGATCTCCGCTTGTTCCTCCAGACTCACACTACAACGAGTAACAAGTGCAACACATGCTTCCACTAATTCCAATGAAGCAGGAAATAAGCTCAGCTGATTAGCTAACTGGTAAAATCCTTTAATCTTCAAAAATTTGTTTATTTCTTCATCAGTGGATCGTTGCAAGTAAGCAGATAACACCTAAAAGCATTTTATAAAATGTTAATTGTGTATTTACAACAATGTAATTTAGTAATTGCAAGCATTACAAGTTGTATTTACCTTCACAACTGCCGTCCTAACCCGGGGATCAGCATGATTTGCCATGACAAGGAGTGCCTCCGCTTTCACAACATGGTTGAGGACTTGATGAGCCATATTATCAGGCAAGACCAGAAGAGTATCTCTTAATAAAAGTAATAATCCCTCAACAACTAAACTCTGAGAACTACCTCTGCCTGAATTACTCCCAAGCCATTTTTCACCTTCTCCAACCACCGTTGAACTGTCAAATGATACTTGTGTTGGGGTAGGACTCTCTTCTGGCCAAATTCTTGTTGTAACATCCTGAAGAGTACAAACAACAGAAATGTTTAATTCACAAAATTAACATTAACTTAAATTTTTTTTGGCACAGGTATGGCTGTCAAAAGTTCGTGAAGAGTTGGAGTAAGACCACGAAATAATTTTCTATTGGCATATCAATGTTACTTTTACTTTATTCTTGCAAAGTGTCAAGAGATGATGTAATATATTTTAAAATAATAACCTATCCATAACTCACATCGCCCGTTTCTGTAGTGAATTTCTCAATATCTTCATGTTCTTCAACTTCTTTCTTAGGCACTATTTGCAAGTCATCCTTTACTTTTTCCTTTTCTTCATGAATAACTTCTGAAGTGCTTGATGAAAAAGAACCTCCCCCAAGTTTTATCTTATTGTCAACTGAATCAGTGTACGGAAGACCCATTATGTTGGGTTGATTGGCTATGTCTGTACTAGATCGAATTAATTCTTGCTCACTTGGGTTTTGATTCTCTTTAAAACTACAAGCAATTCCAGAGTCCATAGTCAGCTCATCTACTTTATTGCTGTCCACAGGAACATCTGAATTTGAATCGGTTCTTTGCCCAGGTGCTGAGGCTTCGTTGTCACCATGTCCTTCTCCAGAGCATTGTTGAATCTAAAAGTAAACAATGTATATAATGATGTTTGAAAACCAATCTTAACCCTTGATTAGTCACATGCAGAATTCTGTTCCACATATCAATATTTTCTTAAATTCTCAGTTTCCAATAATCAGACACACTTCCGCTTGTGAATAGTAGAATTTTAAACTTTCAGTGCTGTTCAGAGGTTATGAAATGCAGTCTACATTTAACAGTTTAAAAGCACTGATCCCTTCTTTTTAACAGTGCATATAGTGATTATTGACAGAACTGTATGAAAAATACTATCAAAAAAAAAAAAAAAATTTTCCCACGATTTAGTTATTTAGAATATAATGCATTTTTTGTGGCTCTTAGACTAAACTCTGCAGAACTTGTACATTTTTTATTGTAATAACAACTTGTAAATAAAACAAATTACCTATCAAATCAACATAAAATTGAAATAAAAATTATAGAACAATTTACACTTATGAAGAACAACAGTCTACATGTGACAAAATATGTAATAACGGGTGTGCGACTAATTCAGGGTTAAATAGGTACAATACAAACCAATACACGCACTTTGGATGAGCATTATATGCTCATTAATGGAAGTCACTATCACAGACCCTGTGATAAAAGAGGCAGTGAACTGCCCTGAATTTACTCATGTTTAAGGAGCAAAACTGAATATTCATTTTCTGAGAATTGTGCAAGTATGAAAGTTCAAATACATTTTACAACAAACCTGTAAATTTGTAAGAGCCTTATTCAATTTTTGTGGATCCACGGGTTGAGCAAAATTATTTTTAGTTTCCTTTTCTTTTAAATCATTTACAAAAATTTTCGTTGTAGATGATTTCAGTTTTGTATCTCCTTCTATTTGAAATCCTCCTAAAATAAAAAAATCATAGTATGTGCTCATTATTCCTCATGATTAACACTTGTATGTTTATTTAAAAACACAATAATTTATTCAAAGTAACAAAAACTTTATTTACAAGAAATAAGAGAAAAAGAACTTTTAGATCAATTTTCCTTAATGAAGTAGGTCCAATTGTTGTAAAACAAATTCATTAGTTTGTGATATTCATACATATACAATTGACACCATTCCTGTCACCTTCTTGGATACAATTACGCTCGGAGAATGTATTCTGCAGTCATAGAGAAATCCAAATTGCGACCATGTTTCTGAGTAACACTGCATTTTAATAATTAAATTTGTTCAAAGAATTGGCTGCCCCAGCTGGGATTTGAACTTAGGCCTTCAGGTTTACGCCCAGAAGTCAACCACTAAGCTACCGAAACAACCAATTCTTTGAAAAGTTTTTATGAGCATTAAGGAAGCCATACGAAGGATTTTTTTGCCCTTAAAAATTCACAGCTCCGATCAAGTTTGAACCCACCAACTTGGGTATAACTGCTCAATATGCTAACCGTTACACCATCGCCGGCGTCAATATATTGGATATTGGCCTTTCTACTTCCAAGAATTTTTCCTTAAATATGTCAGATTTGAAGTTATAATAACAACTAAGAGAATAATAGAACTGTGCATAGTGTTTGAAAAATACATATATTTCTTAGACAGACTAAAGGACAAACCTGCTTTCTCAAGACTGAGGCCGGTCTCTTTTCGTGTTGAGCGTGGCATGTTTGTCAGATTGGTAGGCACATTTGGAGGTTGTGAAGAGAGTAGAAAGTAGAAACTTGGGCGCACATGTGTGACATATGTGGCACTTGCTTGATGTAAAAGGACCAAAAAATCAGTCACTGCCACAATATGTGAAAACTCAGGAGGTGCACCCATCAATGAACGAATAAGTTCCACAAGAGAGCAACACACTGACACATGTAATTGGAGTGCTTCTTCATAAAGAAAACGTTCCTGTTACACAAAATGTGAAAAAAAATTTAATAAGAACTACAACACAGAAAAAAAGTATTATTAATAAAACACAAAAGCCTAAAGTATTAATTTGTTATACAAGAAAATACTTAACATTTAACACATGAAATTCACAATTTAGCAAATGAGTATAGTGATCAATGACTATCAAGAAGTCTTTAAAAAGAGAAGAGAGGATTAAACCATCAGAAGAACATGTGCTTCACTTGAATACCATGAAGTAAATACATTTCAATACCCCAGGAATTAAATTATCGATCATGTTTACCCATCACAATCAGGGTTAATATTTTTTACAGGTTTTCTTGATCTACTGACAAATTAGGAGATGGCACTTTGCTCTGCTTCTCAAACATGACATGTAGCTTTTCTCCCTCCCAAACATTACAAAGGTTTAACTAATTTTTTGTGTTAAATCAGGGTGACGATGAAATTTGGAAAACACATGAATTAGAGCAAAGGTTCATTTTTTCAGGTTTTGAGTTAATTATAGGGAAAATGTTTTTAATGTATAAATCCAACATCTCATGCATAAAAATTTGTTGTACACAAACCTTATTCACATTATTTCTAACTTTTACAATTTTTGAAAGTTCTGAGTGTTCAACAAAAATTAGAACTACACTAGTCTTTTAAGTGTCCTTTGTTCTATCTGCGGAAATAATTTGGTGGCATGCTTGAGAATTTTTAATTTTTTTATCTATTGTACTCACTGAAAGACAAAACAGACAGCCTCGCCGAAAGACAAAGACAGGCAGACTCACCGAAAGACAAACAGATTAATCACTCCCAGTGACCTCTTTACATACTACTTGCCGCCTAGTGACACTTGTTGCCACCCACTGGCTTTTGCTGCTCCCCAGTGACCTTTTACATACATCTTGCCCTCAGTGACTTTCTTTGCCACACAGTGACCTTTGTTACCCCCAAAGTCTGCACTTTAGGTGCTGCTCATGTGTTGTTTGCCTATGCTTGGGGTACCATGAACAGTCTTGAAGGACGTGAGTCTATGGTACAGGGGCCTGGTACCCCAGTAGCTGAGGCAGTACCTGTACACGTTTGGAAGCTGTACTTCAGGCTTGTCACGAAACATCAAAAGAGATATTACAGAGGGAGAAAACATAGTAGCTGTATCAAGTAATACGAGAGGTGAAGAGAAACAAAAGGCTCTTTGTAATCTCGAGAAGAAGGTCATTGAACTTCCTGAGTTTGTCAAACCTCGCCACAATGTACATGGCGATATCAAGAAATTAAAACACGTGCAAGTCGCATAGTCTAATGACGTGGTTGCGGTTCAAGAAAGATGTCCTCTCCATATCCTCATTCTACTAAGAACCCTAGAAAGGAGAGGAGCACTCAGACGTCATCCGAAAAGCAACAAGTTGTGAATACAAGGGCGAAGACGAAGAGCAAGCCACCGCGCAATCGTGAACATCAGGAAAAAGCGGCGACGGAATTCAATGAAACCCCGAAGAGCAATGAAGACGAAATCGGGGCAGAAACGCCTTCCTTAGTATCATTGGGAAGCAAGTTCGCGTGGCAAGAGGGCGACAGAAGAAAGAAGGAAAAGCGTTCGAAAACGCGAAAAGGGATGCCAAGGCTGGATGCATTGGTAATAAGGAAAAAAGGTGATGGCTTATCCTACGCGGGCATATTGCGGGAAGTTAAAGGTGATGCAAAACTAAAGAATCTGAGTTCAAATGTCACTCATATCCGGAAGTCAGCATGCGGCGATCTCATCCTACAACTTCGCAGATCCACAGATTGTCAAACACTGGAGTTTCAGTCTTCAGTAAAAAAGGTTTTTGGTTCGCATGCCGATATGAGAACACTCACCCATGAAATGACCATTGAGGAGCAGGGCGTGGTTAAGGTCACTACCAAAGAAGAAGTCCACAGTGCTTTGGTTGATTAATTTCCAGAAGCAAAGGTTTACCGGCATGAGTAGCTAAATTCCTGCGACCAGCATATGGGGGAACACAGACAATCGTCTCCCCGCCACCGTGGCCAACGCCCTTTTAGCTGTTGGTAACGCGAGATTAGGATGGGTAAACTGCACATTGCGTGAGAGGAAAAGCCCTCTGAGATGCTTCAAATGCTTAGATTTTGGACACATGAGTCGAACAAGCAAGACCCCGTGTGACAGACCAATGTTGTACATGAATTGTGGTGAAGATCTCTTGGCAAAGACATGCACGAAGGATCCAAAGTGCCAAAGCAGCAAACATGCTACCAGGTGTAACATATCTTTCTTACCCAAGAGCGCTGAAGACAATATTGGACAGATCATGAGAATCGTTCAACTAAATCTGAACCACTGTGAAGTTGTTCAGGATATCCTAGCTCAGTCTGCGAGAGAATGGGAGAGAGATCCTGTGTGAACAATATAGAAACCGCGTCGATTCATCATGGGAATCCGACCACTGCAACAAAGCAGCAATTTGGGCATGTGGGAACGTCCTTTTCAACAATAACACGAGATGAAGTTGGCTTCGTCTGGGTCAAAATAGATGGAATCTATATTTATAACTGCTACGCGTCACCAAATGCTACTCTTAATGAGTTCGAGCAATTCCTTGACCGTCTAGTTCTTAATAGCTGGGTTCTTGCCCCCTCGTGATAGCTGAGGACTTGAACGCGTAGGCTATGGAGTGGGGGAGCTCGGCAACGAACAACAGAGGTAGAGCTGTGCTAGTCATTCTCTCTCTGGAACGTAGTGCTCGAACACCGGAGGTGCATACACCTTCCGCAGAGGTGTAGGATCAGTGGTAGACATAAGGTTTATGAAAAGTAGCTTGTTGAGAATGGGAGTATCCTGGAAAGTCAGTGAACACTACACTCACAGCGACCATCAGGCTATTGTATACGAGGTACAATATCGAAGAAAGGGTTACGTTGGACCGGGTCGTAAGGTGAGGAGACGGAAAGTCAAAGCGTTTGACGAGGAAGTATTCCGCCTTTCTTTGGAGAATTTTGTACCATCAGGGACGGCAGATACAAAGGGTAGCCAAATGTATGAACTGGATAACCAAAGCCTGTGAAGTATCAAAGCCCAGAAGAGGAGCCAAACACCGACCTTTACCAGCTTAGTGTTGGAATGGAGACCTCAGCAGCGGTGTCACTGGCTTCCGACCAGGAGACTACCAACGAGCACGTGGCAAAGACACCTTTGTCCAATAGCAAGAGCAATATAAATTGGCCAGAAACCAGTTGAAGACTACAATCCGGGAATGTAAACGTCTTTGCGCTAAAAGTCCGTGCGATGAAGTTGTTAAGATGTATGGGGTAGACCATACAAGACGGTCATGGGTAAGTTTATAAAGTCACATATCCAGTTTCCAACCTGCCTTAACATTCTTCTGACAATTGTAACTTCATTCCCACACCACCCCGGCGAACTGACGAACATCGTGCAACTTGATACGGAAATAATAGCACCAGTCACTACGGATGAGCTCCTGCTTGTAATCAGCAGAATTTGTAATTCCAAGGTTCCAGGGCTGGATAGTATCCCCAACATCGCCCTGAAGACTGCGGTATCCGCTCGTAGTGAAGTATTCGTAGACCTCTACGAAACATGTCTGAGAGAAAGTATATTTCCTGAGAGATGGAAGAAACAACTAGTGCTTCTTCCAAAGGGGAAAAAACCACCCGACGATCCGGCGCTTACAGGCAGCTGAGCGAGCTCGATAACCGCGGTTAAGGTTTTCGAGCACAACATTAGCGCAAGATTTGAAGATGCAGTACATAAAGGAGGTAGACTCTCAGACAACTAGTATGGCTTTCGCAAGGCTCGTTCAACAGTTGATGCTGTTACGTTTGTCTTTGGTACTGCCCGTCAGGGCATTAGAGGGAGCAGGTGGAGAAGAGGTCCAAAAAAGTACTGTGCAATCCGAACATTGGACATTAAGAATGATTTCTACTCGGAAAGATGGAGTGATGATAAGGCACGCCATCAAATCAATGTACCTAGGTACCTGAGAAAAATAGTGGCTGAATATCTGAATCGACGAATTCCTGTGTACAATACGGATGATGGACCGAAGGTACACATCCTCACCGCCGGCGTACCGCAAGGTTCGGTGCTGGGTCCTCTGCTGTGGAATATCATGTATGATGAAGTTCTTAGGCTTCCACTCTCAGAAGGAAGCGAGATCGTAGGCTTCGCAGACGATATTGCCATCGTCATCACAAAATTTATAGAATAGTGTGCATTTGCAATGAAGCCATCGCCATCGTCATCGTAATCAGCTGGATTCCGCACGATTGCAGCTTGCCAAACATAAGACAGAAGTGCTGCTTGTAACTAGCAGAAAGAAGAGAGAATCCAGCACTCAAAGCAGGTCATCACAAAATTTCACCACGACCTGCGGTAAAATACTTCGGCATCCCGATTGACTCGCACTTGTTCTTTAGAGACCACTTGGAGAATGCCAGCAAAAGAGCAGGGGTGGTGAATGCTGCGTTGACTAGGTTAATGCCGAACACTGGAGGGCCTAGTCGTGAAAAGAGAAAGCTGCTTGCCTCGGTCGTCACATCGGTCCTGCTCATGTGCGTTCCGCACTGTCTCCAATGAAGCAGTTTGCGTCATAGCCGGGATGATCTCAATAGAGATAATGGCCTGTGAACGTCAGATGCGTTATGACAAAAGAGAGGGGAAGCAGAACGGTTCGGAGCAATTAGCAACAGCGATGGAACACGCCCTCCAAGGGAAGCTGGACATACCGACTGATTCCTACAGTTGAATCGTGTATCAATCGAAAGCACGGGCGGGTAAATTTTTACCTAACGCCGCTTCTAACTGGGTGTAGTTTCTTCAGAGCCTACCTCCACAGGTTCAAACTGAATGATTCTCCACACTGCCCTCAGTGCAAAACTGTTGTTGAGGACGCCGAACACGTGTTTATTCAGTGCCCACGTTTCGCACCTCAACCACGAGTCACTGCTGAGATACTTGGAATACAACAGATGACTCCAGAAAACGTAGTTTCATGTATGCTTGTTGCTGAAAGCATTTGGAGGTCGGTGTGTAAATTGTCTGTTGCTCGAATTGCGACGCATAGAGAAAAGAAGGAGGGACATCTCTGTTCCTTCCTGATGATGATGATTTTAAGGAACAATCAAGAAAACTATTTTCTATTCAGACAATTTAGGGAGTAATCACATATTAAGGTTAATATGGTAATCACAAAAACATTTCATGCAAGTCTTAATCACAAAAATTAACACAAGATTATTGTAACTAATGTTTTTAGTACTTATTATGTACTATAAAATTTGTAAATAATAGTATATATTTCACACTTTAATCAATTTAATTAATAATCCAAAAACATTAATGAAACAAAAATAATTGATATAAAAAAGATTTGAATTAAAAATCCACATTTACTTATTCAGAAGGAAAAAAGTTATTTTTCCATCCTTCTTCTAGTCATTGTACTTCTAAACCCTTTTAAGGATCTAAGAGTGTAAATCTGAGTGTGAGGGACATCCACAGCCTGCCATGTAAACTGAATTAGTGTAATTTAAGAATTAATGCTATTTCAAAGAGGACAAGATGTGTTGAATTACACATCACTGCATTTTCTTTTAATATTTTTAAATATGTTCACTAATTCCTCCGGTGAAAAGCTTCTTTGGTACGATCTGTCAAACAAAGAACATGAAGAATCAAAGAAGTGAGGATTTTGGTGAATTTCATCTACTATCCAAGAAACTGAAATCCTTTAAGGAATGTTTCTCTTTTATTTTTGAATGTCCTGGGGAAATTGCATAATCTTGGGAAAACATGTATGAAGACCACTGACTGTGGATGACCTCTGGTGTGAGGAAATGTTGGCAAACATGTTGACTGCAAACTCTCTGAAAAATTTCACCATCCATCAGCAGTCTGCTACAAACTAGTCTGTTTTGCAGTGGTAGGCTCCCTGACATCTGACTATTAGAGAGTAATGGAGTCTTATTTATGCCGACAACCTGTCCCGGCAGTGCAGAGATTTTGTTTGCTGTAACAGACCCTTAATTGTGTTTATACACTAAGTAAACACGACCACAAAAGCGCATAATGCACTTTTTAAGTGTAAGCTACTTTTGACATAAATCCTACATTAAATTATTTAACAAAGAGTTTCAAAAGCAATTTTTCTCAGAACAGCATTTCTGAGTGCACGTCCTTTTCCATTTACTGACTAAATCGTGACGATTTCTTATTAAACTTCCAAAATATTTTTTCATGAAATAAAAATGTTCTAGACAATTCCTAGCTTTCCACGTCAATCGCCACCCTGGTTAAATAAAAAAATATATAAAATCGTACATATATTTCATGGCATGCGATAGGTTTTAATATGAAGCTTCACTATTCTCATTAGTAAAATGAAGATTGATATCACATCTTCAGAAAGGACAAATTAAATTTCCATTCTACAATATACAACATTAACATACGTGAAGAATTTTCTTACCTTACAAAACAAAAGTAAAGCTTCTACCATTCGCACTCTGTTCAGTTGGGTAGCATTGAACTCTCTAAATGGGTGATCATCCCTCAGGAGAACATGTAGTGATCGAAACAGTGTTCCCAAAACACCACCTCCTTCATAGAAGAGTTGTTCCTCTCCTGCTCGCTCCCAATCTCTCCAAGATCCCACAATGGTAGAAAGCAGAAAGGAATTTACAATTATGGCATCTGATTGGCATGCGATGTGAAATTTTCTTGTTCCAGGATGATATTGCAGGACTGGTTTGTCACAACATGTATCCAAAACAGCCTGAAACATATACATTTTTGTTACTCTCTGTAGCAAAACTTTCAATTTTATCCATAATATTCAAACTTTTACAATATCTTCTAAGAATTAAATGATCAGTTTATATTGACAGCAGGATTGGAGAAACCCCAGAGTTACAAAAAATAACAAAAATCTGTGGGTTTCTTGGGAGAGATGGGGGGGGGGGGGAGGATAGGGGAGATGGGGTTTTTGGTTTTGTTAGGGAATTATTTTTCAAATTTGGCCCACATAAAATACGGATTTTCATGATTGGAAAAGTCAAATTGAAGTACATTCAACAAGTACTTGTGGTTGTCTAGTGGTCAAAATTATACCGCAATTCATTTCATTTTAATATTAATAAGGTTCTTTTGTAAAAAATAATTGTTGCAACAATGTTATATATGCAACATTATACATGCAACAACATTATACATGCAACAACATTATATATGCAACAACATTACATATGCAACAACGTTACACGTGGGCAAAATTTAGTCAACCACTAGTTGAGCCTATGTTACTCGAGGAACAAGCAGTAATTCTCACTTTATACAGACTTATAGAGTCAAGTATTTTGAACTCTCAGTGGAAACAAACAAAAATACCTGATCCAGAACAAACCATATTACCCTTTGCATTTGCACTGTGAGGTAAACATTACTCTTTGCTTTCACATATTTGGGTAGTAAAGTTTGCATTTTACTGTAAAGTTTATTTTGTACATGTGTTGTTTTTGTACTTATTTGTTGTAATAAAATTGGAGATTTGATTACTAGTAAATGAAGTTTGAATTTTGTTGTCAGTTTACTTTATTCTGAACTCGTATTGTTTGATCTGTTGTCAAATTTGATTTCAGTCATAAAATTCAACATTCTTTGGAGACACATGTCAGAATTAAGGTATATTGATGTTGTCCCAAAGATTGGTTAAGATTGGTGCAGGTGGAGAGGAGACATGCAATAATGTACCCCAAAATCAGGATATACAGTAGTCCTCAAAAAAACAGCAACACCTAAAGAAAATGGGATTTCTGTACTACCTAATCCAATCTGCTCTTAAACATTTTAAACAATTACAAGTAGAAATTGGTACTCCTATGTTTTATATGGATTATATGATGTTTCTGATTCCATTACCTTCATAACTGGTTTGATTCTTGCAAATCAAGTGGTGTATTATTAGGCTTATATTGCAGATTACAACTGTGAGAAAGATGATGTATTTTTTTTTAACACTATTGTATACATGGATAGAGGTCTCAAACATAACACTGACAGATTAGAAGCTTTTGAGCTGAAACTTTGTAAACATGTGAGGAGTACGATCTAAGTGCACTGTTCCAGAGATCCTTAAGATATTCTTATTTTGGGGGGTACTTTACACGTAGCCCTTATGACATTTTCAACATTTTCTGGAAAATGGCACGAGTACTTTTGAGAACGTAGGCTTACGCAGCTGGAGTCAGTAGCTGCTTGGTTGGCCAGGAGACCCGCGTCCTGGGCACGGGTGCAACATTTTGGCAGTCCTACTGTGACTTTCCTCCATGTTGCAGAATGGCAGCCAAAACGTTGGCACTTGTGCCCAGGATGTGGCATCTCCCGGACAGCGAAGAAGCTACTGAATGTGTTTTCTTTAAATTTTTTGCTTGAATAGAAGAAAGTACATTTATAAGTATAATACAGTTCTGATCTTCATTAAAACCTCGGACATTTAGAAAACTTGGAAATATTTATGTTTTTAAAACACCAAAACTTTTCGTGTAGAAAGATGTTTGAGCTTTCAACTCAACCAAATTTGGTTATTTTTGTTTTAAATGAAAGGTAGTGAGGGCCCAGATCTTTTATCGCTTCCTATTATTAAGTGGTTTTATAGTAAAAACACAAAATTTTAATAAAATCATAAAATCAATAGAATCATAGAAGCTTATCAGCTGTCACTTGTTCATTATCTCATTGTGCCAGTTGTAATCAATCTGTTGAAAGCATTTGACAGCATTCGGCATTTCCTCTTTGAGGATACATGCAAGTGTACAATAATGAGAAGCTAATACAGTGAGTGTTCATAAGTTCAAATAGTGTTTTTAGATACAAAATTTTGCTAGTGGATGAACACGCAATGTCCAGCAATTGTCTTAATTAAATGTGATGCATTACGTTTCTAAAGTATAGTGAAAGTACAATTTCTTTGCCAGATTTCCCTACAATATACAAGTACAGATCTTGGTAAATATAAATCATTTCCATAACATTTTCGGAAACATGTTAAATTCGCTGTTCACAATGAATATTGATTGTGTTGTTCCAGAATGCGTAAACCACCATCGTTTCATTATCTTCAAGACTTAATACTGAACTACATGAAATAATGTTTTGGGGGCTTTCTGTTTTCTGAATAGTAAATATGTAGAACTTTTCTGATATTTCTACAGCCACATCCTATATTAATCTACTTTTTGGCATACATGTTAGCTGCTTGAAATTTTTAATATAAGCCTTTTGAAATAATTTTTCAACCATATTGATTCTTGGGTCTTCAATGTTTTGACTTCATATTTTGATATCATTCAATTGTAGATCTTTACTTTAAAAATCCTCCTTTAAGAGTAGGAAGTTTTAGTATGCCACACTAGGTATATTTGTTAGAATGAGTTTGTTGCGATCAATTTGAGTCTTAATGGATATTTTAATACATACAATTATAGGATTTGTCATTTTATTTGAAATATTATAAAAACAATTAAAACAATTTTTTGGTTTTATTACAGGTTGTTTTCTCGGTTTTGTAAGAGGGCTAACCCTGATTGTGTCACTGAATACTTCGCAAACAAAAAATGGCATTCCCATGAAATGTTTCAGTTAAATTGGCAGCTCACATGCAAAACTTACCTTGAGCATGTGATGTCCAGCAATACAACGTGATGATGAAAGTACTTTCAATAGCAATTTATGACAATCTTGACTGACAAATTGAGCAAACAGTTCACTATCTGCTTGTACAAGTTTTAATAACAGAAACAGTGCTTTAGCCTGGGCCTGTTGGCTTGCCTTCAGTTCTACCACTCGAGCCAACAAGAAAAGAAAGACAGGTGTACCACCTAAGATACTGGCAGCAGCAACTAATCCATGATATTGCTGACTGTTAGGAGTAGCCAGTAATATCGGTCGTGCCGGAAGTGGTAATTGCTGGCTGGCACGTTGCTCTACAGCCACAACACGAAAGCCAGGTTGCCCTGGAAAAAGTGAACCAACCACACCTGCAACACAGAAAATTTCTAAAGGACAAAATTTTGCACTTGTATTATTTTTATGATTATTGATTCCTGCTGTCAAAAACCTAATTATTTACGAAGTTGAATAAAGGGAAGAATTTTAGTTAAATAGAATGATTACAGAGACACCATAATAGAGAATAGAAAAACTTGAGTTTAATTGCAAATGAAAATGTTGCAAAAACATACCAGTGTGCATATCATAAACAAGTCTACTGATAACGTACCTCCTGGATTGGTCATCACTTGTGGATATACATTGACAATATGTGGGTTTTGTGCTGAATATGTAAGGAGTAAATTGTCCTGAAAAAAAAAAGAGAATTATTTGAAATTGTTAGTAGAAAGTGGTGAAGTGTATTATCATCTTTTCAATATTTGAAGAATACTACATACTGTATTTACCCAAATATAAGATAACCTAATTTTGAAAAAGCCTTCTGAGAATTTTTTGTTTTCAACTAATTCTTACTATTCAGTCAAAATAAACTCACAAATTGTCTTATGGGATAGAAATTGTCTAGCTGGTATTAAGTTTTTTGCAAAAGCTATCACTATTTGTTCCTCGAATTATTATCATAATTTTTGTCACTATAGAGTGGACACTCATTTCCTAGGACAAATTTTCCTGATCATTTTCAGTTTTCAATGGAATTCCTTTATGATTTTCCAAAAAGATTTTTAATTTCACACTATTGAAAGAAAATATTAAAACCAGTCTGATAATAATTGGTAAGCTCTCTGACTTCACCGTGAGATTTTACAACTTAAAATCTTTTCTCAACAAAAGAACTCACAAAAATAAAATTGCAATAATGTTTTATGGAATGTTATATGGATTTATAAGCCTGATTTTTTCCTGACTTTCCCAGAGCAATTAAATTCCCTGATTTTTCCGATTTTTCGTCCCCCCCCCCCCCATGTTTTCTAGAAATTGGCCACCCTAAACTACCATATTCATCTTTAGGTGACATTGTTTCTTTCTTTCTGGTCCCCTCTCATACTAGTTCATCCTCTGACTTTTTGGATCCCTCTGCATGTTGAATTTGTAATCTTAGTTCCCAATCAAACACTACTTACAATCATTCTCTTATGTGCCACTAGATTTTCTTCCAGGCACAGTTGTTAAAAAAAAAAACACAGACCACGTACAACTGTTAATTTTAAATTCGTATGATCAAGTTGTAACTGCCACTTCACATATTTTTGTTCCTCTGTTTTATGGGCAGCTTAGGGGAGAGCAACAAAGATTCCAACTTTTCAGATTTTCTGGCTAAGAAAAAATATCTTTTTATCATTGAATGTCAGTGGCTGAATGAAGATTCAAAGTTCTATCAAGGTGAATTTTTTTTCATTTCAATCTCTTGCAAAATGCAGATTTGCACTCGTCAGTCATCAAACAGAGTTCTAGCCAAAAGCCCTCAGTCTTGTTGAGCATCATGTAACAAAATATCAACAATTACGTTAATTCTTTTCACATTGCATTTCACTTACAATGCCATTCAGTTGAGATTCTCTCTTTACTGGCCCATTCCAAAATATCAGTCAGAATTGCCCAATATATCGAAAGTGAGTGCTAGAATACGTCCGTGAATATAAGATGGGTATTTAGAGATATATAAGGTTTTTATTGTCTTTGCAGCTGTTATGTCAGGGTTCAAGTTTCGTGGCATGAAAAGGTAACAAAAACATACAATCCCAGCCAAATAGCCTTAATTTGAGAACATAAGACAACCCCCAATTTTTTTAAATTATATATTTAGGAAAAAATCGTTGACTTATATATAGATAATAAGGTATGTGGTCTCATGTGAATTGTGCAAAATGCTTATTCAGAAGCACAACCCCATCAGTGCAAAAATTAAGAAAACATATTAGATAGATATAAATACAAATATTGTTTGCTAACCTGTTTCTTTAAATTTAAAACATTAATGATAGCCTTAATGCAAATGAGATAGTTTTTTGTACAAATCAATTCAAATGATGAAACGTCATACCATTCTAACTTATTACAATTCAAATTTGACACTTCAGCTGGTAATTTTTTTTAATATGCATTTATAATTACCTGCAATTCCTTTAAATTTCCTTTCTTTCCATCTAAGATCATCTCCCAATCAATTCCAGGAGATAAGGTCTTGGGTCCAAATACAGAAGTAAAATTGGGACTGACTCTATCCACTTCACAATCTGTCAAATTTGTGTAATTTGGACCCAAACCCACAAGATAAATGGCACGCTCTCTAGTAAAAACAGGGCAACGAAATAACATGACACTGCCCAAATACCAGGACCCAACTGGTTTAGCAGCACCTGGCACAACGCTATGACCCAGTAGGAGACAAACAGGCCGAAGTTTTCGAACTAATAATCCTGAGTAGGTCATCAAAACTTTCACTTCACGCCATCCATCGATTAGCAGCAACACCTGAAACAATCAAAGCAGATGTGAATGTAATGTTAAAAGTTGAAAATGCTTCCAGTGAAAAACTGAAAACTCATTCCTTCTTCATCTTCCAATTCGCAGAGCTACGAGCAAACATATCAGATTGGTATTAAAAACAAACATTAATTAGCTACTAGAAACCAAAGCACTGACAATGTTGTGATACAGAAAAATTCATGAAGTTAATGGTCAATTGAAATCTTCAAGAAGAAAATTTACTTCAAAAGATTGAGTAGAATGACTTGGAACTCAAACTTATTTGATGACCATCAACAACTTACTTTTCAAGATTGTTTTCATATCTGAGACAAGGAAAAGAAAAGATAATACTTAACGAACATACAGTTCAACTTGATATGTAGCCTGCGATTTCAAAAGCAAGATTTGTTGTTTTTGAATTAAGGTTGCCATATGTTGAGGATTCTGTCCATGATTTCTACTTTCACATTTACTTTTATGTACTTAAGAGAAAGTTGTGTAAAGCTGCAGGAAAAATTTTCTACAGAAATACTCATTTTGTGGTTTCCTGATACCATCAAAGGATTTTTCTGGGTCCAATACATATTAAACTATTTTCTTATTTATGTACTTTTTGGTCACTCTGAACTAGCACCTAAATCATACATGGGTTTTTCAGTAAAATGGATAATTCCTGATTGATATGCTGATGGGTCCCAAAAATTTGAAATGGATCTTTTAATTTTTGGAGATACTTTACGACAAACTCCAATGAATCTTCTCAAAAATGACTCCAAAGTTTTTGCTTTAAACTTTTGCTTGAATAGAACAATGTGGGCTTACAAAACTACTATAAGTTTTATTTTCAGTACAACCTATGAATTTTTAAAATTACAAAAGTTTAAAATTGTTTCGACACCTGCATACTTTGAAGGTTTGTTTACTAAATAAAATGTGTTTTTCAAAATCACATCTTTAAATAATTTAAAGAACAATTTATTGAAAACATGCATAGTTTTCAAGTAATTTTGAGTGAAACGATGATAATTAAAAAAATATTAAAACAAGATTTCCTCAAAAAGAGTTCAAAATTTTTTCTTTTATATTTATATATATTTCTTCTTTTTGAATAATGCAAAATTTGCCTAATACTGTGGTTTTGGTCATACTTTCATTAAAATCATTGAAATTTGGAAGATTGTAAAACTTTCTTTTTGATGGGTTTGTAGCACTTGTATAAGTTAGCAACATTTGTTGATATAATACCTAAGACTGCTCACGGAGCCTATGAGCCTAAGTTTGAATCCCAGCCCACAAAAGTATTTTAGCATGTGCCCACAGATTTTGAGGTGGGAGAACAGGGCTCTTTCAGTTGGAAGAAAATGAAAGCACTTTTTTCTGTCCTTGGGCAGTCATTCATTCATATTTCATTCATGGTCGTAAGAACTCACGTTTAGGAAAGAAGAAATGCTTCAAAATGTTGAACATGTATAATAAACATGTTTTAAACGAGGAGAAATTACAAGAAATTCAGGAGGATTTGAAGCACTCTCCTGAGACTTCGCTATTGAAATTGAATAAGCACTGTAATGTTTCTCTCATCAGCGTACATGCTGTAATGAAAAAAATTGAAAATGCAGTCTTACAAGTGACATACCCTTCAAGAATTGACAACACAAGATAGCGACGCATATATTCATTTTTGCCGTTGGTTTAGGAGCTTCATTCAATTAGTGCTTCACCTCCTTGACACTTTGTTTTTTAGTGATGAAGCTTGGTTTCATCTGAATGGAAATGTAAACATACAGAATTGTTGGTTGTGATGGACATCGAAAACACATACAACTCTACAAAAACCTCTTCATTCTCGGAAAGTTGGCGTTTGGTGTACCATATCTTGCGGTTGGATTATCAGACCGATTTTTTGCATGGAGACAATTGCTTCCAAAAAGTATAAAGACATAGTCGAAAACTTTGCATCTCTTTTAGAAGAAGACAAGGAGTACTGTTGGTTTCAGCATGATGGCACTCCATATCATGTGGAGAACAATAGTATGAAGTTTTAGGAGATCGAATTGTTTCATAAGGTCTATGGCCACCACATTCTTCGTATCTTACTTCACTGGACATTTTTATTTCGGGTACTCTTAAAAATAAAATTCAAGCAAATAGATCAACTTTCACTTGACGATTTACATCGCAACATTACAAAGTCTATAGGGTAAGTTTTAGAAGTTGTTCTTCAACGTTTTGCGGCCATTACATAGAAAAGAGAAAACACATCTCTTGGCAAATGTGGTTACTTTGAGCATTTACTCTAAGGTCAGTTTATTGTCATTTTATGGAAATAATATTTTATTTATTTATTTATTTATTTATTTATTTATTTATTTATTTATTAACAGACTGTGAAATACAAATAATATAATACAAGTATGTACATTATTATTCCGCTAAGGAATTAATCCAGTGCGCGGGCCCGTTATCACTTCTTTTTTCTCCCAGAGCAACAGTTTTTTTCAAGAGCTCGTTTATAAAAGAAAAGAATACAAAAAAATAATCGGAAAATATAATTAATAAACAAAGAAAAAAAGAACGAAGCCTATATTACAAAAAAAAAAATCGAAATACAGAAAGTAAAAAAGTAGTTATCACAATATAATTTAATTTCATAATTCTCATTGAAAAACTGAAGAAACTGTCTCATCGCTAAGCTCAATTATAAAGTTTCTAAGCACTTTCTTTGAATTTTTACGCAGTTTATCGTAGCTGGTATTTTTGAGTTCACTACTCAGTAAATTAAAAATTCTATAACTAATAAAATTATGGTTAGGTCGACTGATTTCTTTCCCAATTTTCAGCGGTACTAATAACTTGTTTCTCTTATTATTTTTACGTAATGATATATATTTCTGTTTAAGATAGTCAAAATTATTCCAAAGAGGTTTATCTAAGAAAACTTTCCTTATAGAGACAAGTCTATACGTTTTAAAAAGTAATTCAGAGGAATATACAAGATATTTGGCTGAATTCACTCGTGTCAGAAATGGACAATCACACATATCACTATTAATATCACACGAACTAGTATGTAACTGTAGATCAATATTTGAAGGTATGCTGTCAACATAACTACCATAGGTTATGAAAACAGTTTTTTGTATATTTAAGATTAGGAAATTTACACTCAACCATTTCGCAATTAGACTCAATTCAGCTTGTGCTAAATCCTTTACTTCAGACCAAGTTTTAGCTTTAACAATTAGCGTAGTGTCATCAGCGAAAGACACAATTTCACCCTTTGGTAGGATATGAAAGAAATCATTAATATATAATATGAAAAATATAGGAGAAATATATGGTTCATTGAGGAACTCCACAAGTTACATTTAACTCGTCACAGATAATATTATTGATTTTTACCACCTGCTTTCTCCCAGTAAGATAACATTCAATTAATTTGTTGGCAATTCCACTAAATCCATAGTTATACAAGTTTTTCAACAGAATTTTGTGATTGACCGAATCAAAAGCCTTTGCCAAGTCCAAAAACACCGATAAACACAGAGTGTTTTTATCGATAGCAAGGCTGATTTGGTCAGTGACATATTTTAACGCATCTTCAGTACTCTTATTTTCCTGAAATCCAAAATGGTATTTATTTATAATATTATGCTTATTTATAAAATTTATTATTCTTATTTTAAGAACTTTCTCATTTTTAAATGATCAGGAAAAATTCCATCCATAATACTCTTATTGATAATATGTACGAGTGGTTTAATTACATAAGGGGAAATTCTTTTTATAATTTGAATTGGTATTTTATTGCTACCTGCCTTTTTGTTACTGTTCATACTTGTTATTATTGTCAGAATTTCTTCTTCATTGGTCAGTGTAATGAAAATCGAGTCTCGAATCGTAGGCTCGTTTGCCACATCATAGCTAATTTCTCCAAATCCTGCTGTCATATTATTAAAATTTTTATTAATTTTATTAAAACTATCTTATTTGTTTAATTTCTAGATTCCACAATAATAATTATTTTTATTTATTTATTTATACATACTGTTATTTTTACAATAAAATAATACAAATGTAAGACCAGCTGAGTAGTGCACAAAGTAAGATACAGATCATAATATTCTACACTTTAATATAACATATTTCAATTGAGCAGCAAATTTTGCAGCATTCGCTGAGACTGTATCTATGTTATGTTCCTTAACATAGCCACATATTCTGGTAGATGGATTATTTAATGTATACAATGTTGAAAATCTATCAATGGCATAAACTGGAGTTCGTCTAGTAGTTACTAATGGCATTTTAAATTTTATTTTACTTAATAGATAAAAACAATTAGAATCTCCATTAACCAGACAGTGTAAAAATTTCATTTCATTAAGAGTTTTTAGTAATCTCAGTGTAGCATTCAACACATTCGATATTGCAGTGTAATCATGTTCAATGAAATGGTCTGGCAATCCCATTCTCGAAGAAATAATCCGAAAAAATCTATGTTGCACTGTTTCGGGTCTCTTTATGTGCATTTCAAAGTAAGGTGACCAAACTACGGATGCATACATCAATATGAGTCAGTGATAAATATAGAGTATAAACTAATTTAACATCCTTGCAGATTCTCCTAATAAAGCCTAATAGTTGAGTAGATTTACTGATTACTGAATCAAGATGTAAAGAGAAACTCATCTTGTCATCAAAGATCACAGCAAGGTCCGTAACGGACATTGAGTCCGTTTATTATATTAATGCTTTAAGTAACGAAGAGCTTGGCAGTGATGTTTCCGATTTCTCTGCTTAGCTTTCAGTCAGTGCCTTTTAACCTTTTGGACAGGAGCTCGGTGCTCTAACTAGGGGTTCCAGAAGGTCATCCAACTAGGAACACATGATGTCTCCAATTCGCTTAACCTCCGTGATTTCATGGATCATAGCTAAGAAATTCGGGCAGCGATGTAGGCTACGGTTTTGAACAGTATTGAGAGAAAAAAAAGGCTAGCAAGCAGAAATTTAGAGGAACAAATGCCATCTTCGTCAAGGTAACATTTTTATTACACAAACAACCAGCTTTTAAGAGCTGTCATAATCTTTAGTGAACCTTCTTGCCGAATTCAACAGATTCATGTCAAAGCCATTGTAAATGGTAAAATAAACATGTTAACAAAATTAAATGACAAAACTAGTTCTTCTTGACCTGACAGAGACACCCACAGCAACAATTACCATATAAGAGCACAAGTGTTAAAATTAGATCACCATTTGACAGTACATCTTAGACAAACAAAATAAAAAAAATACATACCTCAATTACTATCTTTTTATTCTGAACATAATCTTTAACATTTACAGCTAAATGGTGCCACTGTCCTACAGCAAGGCAATTTTCAACTGTAGATTCACAGAGTACTTCATTACTCTTCCAATCTGGCCGCATCCATTTCAAAGTCAATGTATCTGAAAAGAAATAGACAATATTTACAATGAAGTAACATTGTGTCAGATAATTTCACATCATTACAAAACTACAGATGTTTGGTTATTAAGACTATCAATTTAATCCATACAAATGAAAATGCAACAAAATACAAGGTGAAATAAATACCATTATTTTATATAAAATAGAACACTTAAATTGAGTAAAAAGGATTTTTCAGATAAGATTTTACTTTACTAAACTATACCACCAGCAATGCATAAATTGCATTAGAATTCTGCTTCATCTCTATCAGGATTTTGTCCAGAATCCCTGATACATAGAGCAAATGCTGAGATGGCCCCTTGTTTTGCTTCTGGACATAAATGTAGCGCACGTTTTGTTGAACTCTCCTTTTGCATGTAGTGGTAGGAGTAGAGATAAGGGCAAGTCACTATTTAGTTAGCAACGCAGAAAATAAAATCTGCAGTTCGTTTACCATTGCAAATAAGTTTTCTATAACTCGGGAATGAAAATTTCTAGTTTTTCAAATGTCACTAATGTCGTGCTTTTTTAAAATTTTATATTTATTTATGAATATTTTACTTTTACCCATCTTTCAACTATTTATAGTTAAAATGATGGGAAGGGATTCTGGAACTCAAGAAAAGTGCGGAGATGATCTTCTCCTCCATACGTCACATACGGTTTTTACTGGTTTTTGACTAAATTATCTGAATTGCAAAATGCATAAATTAGTTTTTTTAAATAACTTTAATAAATAATTTCTTAAAATTGATTTCAAAAACTAATTTATCATTTTGTCACCTAGTTCCATGAATATAAAAAATGTTGAAACAAAAATACACTAATTAAAGATAAAAAAAATTAAAGTATAATTGAAAAGTGAAGAGTACAAATGTATCATAAATTCAGCAAAAATGTACTTGTTCTGGAATGCAGAGTACAATATACCACAAAATCCACTTACAACAATGAATCTGATAATATTTGTAAATAGGAATAAGTTGCAATGTAGTTACATCATACCTAATCATTACATCTAAACTTTCTCTTTAGTATTATGGAAACATTGATGTTGAATTCATGGTTCACTGCAATCAGCAATGTTGAATGGTAGACTTCAAGATACTTTATATAAATTATCTTAACTGGGTTACTTCAATAGCCTAATATTTACATAATTATCACTAAATTAAATATTTTAGAAATAAATGTGATTAATGACTGAAGGTAAAATATATAAATTATTATTTTCAAACCATTTGACAGACAATATTTATTATTTACTTTTTAGATGATGACGTTGACGATGATGATGATGATGATGGCCACAGTGTCACTCCACATCAAATCACACACTCGCAAAACATCATTATTTTTTAGCGACTTGAAACTTTTTCTATGAGTTGTATAAACACTTTAAGATCTCCAATTATAAGCCAAATAATTGGCATAATCCTCTTCTCTCAGATAATGCTGTAAATATCAGACTCAGCTTTTTAGCTTCTTATGAGAGTCTGACACTTACAGCATTATCTGAGAGAAGAGTATTATGCCAATTATTTGGCTTATAATTGGAGATTTTAAAGTGTTTATCTGGCTCTTTTCCAACAACCCTTTTAAATAAGTGAACATACATATTACCTTGCACAAACAAAATTTAGTGCTAGTGTGTATTGCTCTAAATGATAATGATAAGGATTACGATGATAATGATAATGATGATGATAATGATGGTAATGATGATAATTATGAAGATGATGATGATGAAGAAAAATTGACATGGGCGCCAATGACCTTAGCTGTTGAAGCACCCTTGAACAATCATCATCATCATTATCATAAGTAAGAAGCTAAAAAGCTTGCAGAGACTAGATTCGTCATTTCCACTGACTGATTCGTCATTTCTTACGACAGCGCGAGCACCAATTGCAGCGGCAATGGCAGTGGGGCCGTCAACGGGAGTGGAGGTAGGAGCGGAATCGGTAGCAGGGCCGTCAGCGGGAGTGGAGGTAGGAACGGAATCGGTAGCAGGGCCGTCAGCGGGAGTGGAGGTAGGAGCGGAATCGGTAGCAGGGCCGTCGGTGGGAGTGGAGGTAGGGGGCGGAATCGGTAGTAGTGCCGAAAGCGGGAGTGGAGGCTGGAGCGTCAAAAGTAGCAAAGCCGACTGAGCGAGCGGCAATAGAAGCGGATTCGTCGGCACCAGCATCAGCATCAGCATCAGCGTCAGCATCAGCATCAAGCGTGTGTGTGATGCGTGCGTGCGATATGTGCGCGCGCGCATGAATGTGCGCTATCCTTTGCCACTCCGTACGCCTCCCTCATTTTACGCCCGGGAACACACAGTAGCAGCACCCCAACAAGCGTCCTGGGTCCGAAGTCTTCTCAACTAGAGCTTGTATTGCAATACGACGTCTTTGCATAGCACGGTGGGATTCAAAGGGCAATCGTGCAACCCGAGATTTCATCTACCACTCCAGGTAGCTTCTTCGATTAGCAGCTATTTGACACCTGCGAGTCACATGAAACCAATGACGTTGGTTTTGGTTCAGATTTCGCTAGAGAACACTGACGTCAGTGTAGTCATCTGTAGTACTCGGTGTCGCTTTCCCAATAATTTGCTCACTCGGATGTTCGTCATTTTTAAGGAAGGGCAATTTTCACCAACACTGCAAGTCTTACAACTAATTTAACTTCATTTTCTCCACAGTGGCAAACGTTCTCAGTGGTTTATTAACACACTGATTGATTTCTTTGATAATTTCAAAGGGTATGTGATGAATTAACTGGTAAAATATCATCTTTCCTTAGGAATATAAAGCTCATAATTTCCCATGCAGTTTATTCTGCTAATTGTAATATATTCTTTAATAGTTTAAATTAATTAATGCATTTTTATGCACTCATTTTAGTCATGATAATTTTTAATGCATTTTTGTATTTATGTTTCAGGTACTTTACATTCTCATTCAAGTTCAAGATTAAATTTTGTTGAGGAAGTTCTCTCAAATGAAGTTAGTGCAAAGAATGCTCATGTAAAGTTGGTAAATAAACACATTATTGTAAATATTAGAATTTAATGTGTTAGTTAAATTGAAACGAAGCTTGTGAGAAACATGCCTGATACAAAGGGGTAACTAATGAAATATGTCACAAAAATCTGGATATAAGACTACAAAGTAAGTGACATGATACCACTTTTTAAATTTTTAATTTTATTTTACATAGTAAGACATTATGACTATTCTTTCAAGTAAGCTCAAAAGAGATATATTTGTAATTAGAAAAAGAAAGAACTTACCTGAACATGGATCAGCCCATACTTCCAACATAAGATTTTCATATCCAATGGAAAACATATGAAGAACACTTCCTGATGACACTGGCTTAACTCCAGAAGCATTCTGCATACTCCCTATATAAAAAAAATAAATAAAATGTTCATAATTTAGAGGAGTGAAGAGGTTTGAATTAATCAAATAAGCTCAGCAAAGATGACAAAATTAGATTTATCATTTTATATAAAGTCTCGGCTGTTTACAGCACTGAACTGTTACTAATTACATTAATTTCCAATTTATTTTATTTTAGTTCATTCGTATGCTATCAAATTTCATCTTACCATCTTTAGCCCAGTGATCAGATGTCAGTCCCCAATCAGACAAGGATCCACTAGCACTATCAGAGAGAAGAGAACTTGGATATGAAGGAGTGTGAACTAGAGTCGCACCTCCAGCATTACTGCCACGCTCCAGACGAAGCCATAGACCAATTGAAAACCCATTCATCCACATACCCCACCCTAAATCAGTATTGATTGGAAGAGCTACAGCACATGTAGACCATGCTGATACCAAACCTATGGAGAGAAGAATTAAATTAAGATTGTAAAAGGTGTTCAACAGAACTGTTTCAGTGCTTTGCTAAATTTTAATACAAAACATTGTGATCAAAACACGAGTTAAATCTGCCAAATAAAAACGAAAAGACTAAGAAACCATTCACAAGGTTAATTTATAATATATTTTATGAGATTAATACATTTTAATAAATACAGAAAAAGTTATAAATACATGTAGAATTATTTTTAGTGTTGTTCTGTTATGTAGTTATGTTTAGTTTATTAATTTGGAAGTGTCTTAATATTCATAATTCAGAAGTATTGTATACTATCTATTTTGTAATATGTAATTCTATATGGTATGTTTCAAGACCTTGCAGAAAAATTTTCTTAAATTGCCCAAAAGTCTGGCATAGGGTGAGTTTAAAGTTTTATTTTCTAATTGAAAATTTTTGCTATTAGAGTCATAGCTTTGATGGTGTCAAATCACATGACCCAGTTCAAGTCAACCCAAGTCAGTAGACTTTTTTCCATTTAATTTTGAAATACAGTAGAAAAATTAGAACAGTAAGTGGAGAACCTTCCCAAGTTTCTTTGTCATCAATTCTTAAGATGCCAGTGAATATGAAATACAAATTTGTTTTATAGTTTTAAATTGAAGTTGATAAAATATTTTGTAGTATTACAAATGCAAGTCCAGGGATTCCCAACTTTTTTCTTTTACTGTCTCCTTTTAAGAGAATTGTGTGCTTCATTGACCCCCCTTATGTTTACACTATGATATATAGTATATATAGTCATTACACCAAAAATTGCACATAAATAATTTAAAGACAATGTTTTACATCAATATTCTCTTAAATATCTCAATTTTCATTAATTGAAGAAAATTCCTCTTTCGAGTATCTGAATTCCTAATCGTCATTTTAATGCAATGGTTACAAAATGCTGAGCATTGTTTTATGAACTACTCATAACATTTCTCCACTGGGTATTGTGGAGAATACTTTCTTATATGATGGAGAATCGTGATTGCGCAGTTGAATTTTTTGTTTTCTGAACATCCTGTCTCCTAAGGATGAATGATGGATATGAAAGAAAAGGAGTTAATTTGTAATTTATTATTATGGGTTTGTTGTTTTATATCGGAAAACAATTAAGTTAATACAGCAAAATTCTTTGCCCATTCATCCATATAGTAACGGACAAGAATGTCTAATAATTAATTAAGTTCATTAATTTTTTTGTAATCAATAGGATCTTCATTACATTGATCAGGCCCCACTTCTTATTCAACTATTGACCTCATTTGATCCCTTGATCATCACTGACCTCACTCAAAATTTCATTGACCGCCAGGGGTCTATAACAACTGCATTGGGAACCCCTGCTTTAGTTGTATATTCATTAGTCTCTTAATTCCTGAAGAATTTCAATTTTTATTCAAAAGTGAACTGGCATTTGCTCTACATTTCAACATTGAAATTTAAAAAAAAATTAGAGGCATTATGATCACGAGTGTCTCAACAATGAGGTTTTCTTGTCTCTTCAATCTTGATCCCGCCCCTTCTTGCACAGATGCATTATGGGAGCTTTTAGTTCTGTACATTTGATACTTCCAAAGAATTAAAATTTTGTTGCTTTCTTTAAAATTTATAAAAATTTTGACTTAAAAATTATCTTTTGGAAGTTAAGGTAATCTTTAAAAGTTTAAATTGAATTGAATTTAAAGAGAATTTTATCTCTTGGATTAAAATTAATTTCAAAAACAAACTTCTTTCTTCGATACAATTTTTCATTCAATTCATTTCAATTCAATTATGCAACATTGAATAAACCAGATTCCTCTGTATTTATTTATAATTAGTACTTGAAAAAGCTTGAATTCTTTTTTCAATTATGATTTATCCCATTTACAATAGTATCAGGTGTACGTTTTATCTTTCACCGAAGATGACGTGATGCTTGCCTCAGCAATTGAGTCATTGGTGCCCCAGGGACTAGTCAACAAGGGTCGCGTTTACCTGGCGCATTCGTCATTCTGCATAACCGGCCAATACACCAGTGTCCCAAGAGCGGTTAACTGTGTCATAAAATTTTCTTTGAAGCTGATATTTCTTTACATCTTCGTTCAACTTAAGTCTGCCAGTAAGTGCCGCACAAGGTTTATTAACAAATTTCTAGGCGTAAATATTCCACATTGGTTGACAATTTGGAAGCTTGTGTTGTCTAAGCTATCCAGGACGAGCGGGTCACTGACATGGAAGTTAACGTTGCAGCCAGCGTATTGTGGTCTTCAGAGCGTACTGCTGCTGGCAGCAGCCTACATAAACCACCTTAGACAACATAAACTTCGGCCGCAGAAGCCTACGCAACCAATTTGGAAGCTTGTCAAGACACTTCACAACCATGGAAGTTTAACTGATGAATAAAAGTGTTGAAAGCACCATATTCTGACAGAAAAAGTGAACAAAATTTCTGTCAGGTTACAACAATCTTCAAGAAAATCTTTGAGGGGTCTCGCACAAGCACTCTATAGAAGAGAAAATAGCAGCAATTCCACGAGACTTACTTTAAAGAGTATATAAAAATATGTTCTGGAGGTACCAAGAATGTATTCAAGCCGGACACCACTTTCAGCATCATCTTTAAGGTAAGTTAAGCAAAGCGATAGTTCCCATACATCAGCACGGGCATTAAGTCGCTGGGCAAGCAAGCCCTCAACTTCCTGGTCAATGTGGACTGAATCTTCGGTGAATGATAAAATGTACACTCTGTATTTATAAATCAAACTTTGAACAAAAAATAAATACCACACCAAAATCAGAACAATTCAAATAGCAGAGCAGAACTACAAGAATAATTAAGGTGTGCAAAGTAAATTGCAACAATCCTGAAAAGCTATCTAGTTGTCAAACCTTGGTTATGTACATGATAGTCCACAAAATATTAATGTGACATAGACAAGACTATGAAAATTAGAAAATCAAGAAAAGATCAAAAGTGAAACCAAAAGGAAGAAGATAGAAAGATAAAAAAATTAATAGAAGATGAAGAAAAGAGAAAAATTATTTTCCAAGAATGAGAATTACACCTAGAAAAATTGTGTTGTAGATTCAAACCAGTAAAATAGCAGGGACACTTCACAACTCTGAATGATTGTTACTACAACTTGCAGCAAAAAGATGGTTATTCTTCTTGGGCATTGTGGCAGGAGTGTGGCAAGGAAGAAATGCCAATTAAAAATTTAAAAACAAAGCTGTCAGTTTTTGGAAACACCTTTCTTATACTTTAAAGGATTTTTCTGCACAACATTTTCTTTAGCAATAAAAAATTCTACAAACAAATGTTTGTAGTATCAACTGGATCTGTTGAGGCCTCAAGCTGCTGATATTGTCCACGACAAATTGTTTCACAATACATTTTATACCCTCACGAGTACATTACTTTAATACAGAAGTTGTTTTATTTGTTTAACTCATTACAATAGTTCTTTCTTTAAAAAAAATTGACCTGAGCAAGACCCCCTACACTTTTTACACTAAGAAATTTGATTAGTACAGATGTAAATGTGAAAAACAAACACCATAGACTTCTCCCAACATTTGATTGCTCACTACTGACTAAAATACAAAACTTACATTATATACAAATACACATCATACAATTAGCTGCCAAAGATGTTAAATCAGTGATAATTTCAAATACGTTTAATAAATTTTACGAAGCCTAACTTTTAAATACAAGAAGGTATTTCTTTAGGATTCATAACGCGTTCTGCATATTCATCACAAATTTAGTTAACAAGAGCTTATACCGCATACAAGATCTCTAGAAGCTACATATTGATGGATCACACTATAGTTTAGATTTAATTTTAAAAATACCTTCATTACACTGAAATAAAATTATTTTTACAATAAATTACTTTTTGAAATCCTACTAAAATTGAAGAATGTGAAAATAAGGAATTCCAACAATTTTGAATTTAACAAACACATTTTACATGTTACATAAAATCTAAACAATTCTAATAATTGTTTTCTTTCTTTCTTTCTACAGATACACAATTTTCTAGTTGGTAAGATAAGTGCTGACAATATTTCACAATTTCCTGTTTTTCATTGCTGATATTGAGAAAACTGAACAATTTTTTATTTTGCTCACAAGAAATAAAAAAAATCTTTTTTTTTTAGTTTTCAATTAATGCTCCAATATATTGCCAAATCATGAATACATGGGAGAGCAGTCTGTTGCTATATTGCACAAGTTTTAATATTGCAAATTACAAATGGAATGTCCCTATCCATCCCAACAAATTTTGTTTCCCATATGTATACATTTCTCACAACTTTTTCAAAAACTTAGAATTCCCTGGCTTTTCCATGATTTAGTAGGTTAGTTTCAGCAAACATCCCCCAGACTCTTCAAATTGTGAAAGTTTTTATAATTTTGCAGTCATTTAAAATTTCAATTTATTTCAGTTCTTTATGCCATGGTGTTTGCAGTTTCAATCTATTTCTAATTCATCCAACTACTACACTACTTTCCATCTTTGGCTTTTAGAAGATTCAACTTTCCACTTCACTTCATTGGGGTTGATGCCTTTCATACACACATTTTCAATCCTGAAAAACATGTGTACCAACCCCTAGTATCACCCTGTTTGAGCAATCAGTCTGTCATGTTGAAGCATTCTCCCACCAGAAATGCCACAGCTGTTAAGAATTTTCAGTCTTGCTATAACTTCACAAGAAGAGAATTTGAAAATTTTCAACTGGTGATATATAGCTTGTTTCTCAAGCTTCAAACACACCTGCTTCTGTGTGCTTTGAATGCAGAGTAGCTGCTAGATTTCCAGCAATATCTTCCCCAATTGGACTGCTTAAAGTAGGTGACAAACGCAGGCCACTGCTTCCTTGTGATAAGTTCTTGCCTTCCTGAGTTCCTGGAGAGCCTCCAAGAAGTTTCGACTCTATAGATTCAACTTCTTCAACAGTAGCAAGAGTCGCTTCAACAGGAAAACACAAAATGTAGTTGGGTTGTGGCTTACTTGTCATTACCAAGGAAGTTAGGGGTGTCAGTAATGCTTCCTGTCAAAATCAATAAAAAACAAAAAATTGATAAGTATTTCTCCACTTATTTATTTTACTATACAACAGAACGCATTGGGTGCCCTCAGACCAGTTTCTTTGAAGAGTCACTATCATCTGACTATATTTTACATTTGAACATTACTGAGCAGAAAAGTCTTTCTCCTAAGTTCAAATATAAACGCAATGTAATATATTAAACTGCTTTGTTATGGGGAAAAGAGCAAATCAAAAACAAATTAAACATTTTTGAAGTTTAAAAAAATACTTTTTGACTTTTTTAGTCAGTTTTAGGAGCTATAGCTTTTCTGCTTACGGAATGACACGTCAATACCTAACAAGCTGGTGGAGTGAGAGCCAACCAATTTTTCCATACTTTAAAAAAACTACTATACACTTTAAAACAAAAACCAAGTTTCTATTCATCATACAATACACAGATGAAATAAGTTAATTGAATATAGTACAATCCAAAAAGATGATCATTTTAAAATTGATCAGGGAGAGAAATAATTACATTAGATATGTCAGGTAGGACCAATAAGGAAAAAGGTGCAACAGAGTAAGTTTAAAAGAAAAGACTAGGATTATGTTGGAAAAAGAGCTCTTGCTAACAAAAGGAAAGGGAAGGACAAAAGTTGAGGTGGCAGACAATTAGCAGATGTGATGCAGAATGAATGAAAAGATGCAGATAGAGATGACCCTGGATCAAGAAACATTAAGGAGAAGGATTAATGCCAGGATAGCCAGTCTTCACATAATAAAGCACAGAGAGCAGCTGAAATTGTTATTACTGTCCAGCTGAATCTCTTTTATATTTATCCAAATAAATCTAATGATTAGTAGTCGTTTTGAAAGTTTGTTTCTTACCAGAGGAGGATTGTTTGCCTTGAAAAAATTCAAATACACCGAAAGCTCTTGAGGCGATATGCTGTAACGAGCCAACAATGTCACTAGCTCAAGAACAGCACTTTGAAGCTCTGTCAAAAGCAAGTTTGGTGTGAAAATTGGTAACAATAACTAAACATGAAATAAGAATTAGCAGTCTATAAATGTAAAATTAAATACCTGTGTAATTTGGATTCAAGATTTTTAAGAATGTTCCAAAACCATCCAATAGTTTTTCAATAACACCATTCTTTGCAAGAGTGATGCAATTCTGTGGGTTGTCCCGACACAAAGCAACCAATCTCTGAATGCAGTGAACTAAATTTTGCAAATGCATAGCTTCATTAGGCAATTCAGACCACATTGGAACATTGCCGTTAATTTCAGGTTCGTTGTCATGTTCACAACTACAAGTTTCCAAGTACCTACAAAAACAAAGCTAGGGTGAAACACTAAAATATTTTTGGAGAAAATGGTAAAACAAATGGAATGGAAATAAATTTTTAAAAGTGTTGGTGTAGCATTCTGCACAACCATCATTTTGTTGAATGGAAGGAAGATTACATTATCTCGTGCAAATGCCTTATCTTCACACAAAGTTCATTTGTTAGTAAATGTAAAATCTTTCTTTTGCAGATGTATCATATAATAAATATGCTATTTATCATTATCATCCTTTAGCTTTCGATTCTCTTAATATATTTTCTTCTTAGCAGTTTAAGGCATGCCATCAATGCTCATTTTTTTGCATGGCCATCAATGCTCTATAGTTGCTAATCCTCTTAAAAAGATTCAGTTCTTCCTAGAAGATGGTATAAATAAGGAGTTCATTTGCACTTCTTCAATTCATTGTTTCCGAGTAGTTTTTAAAATCCAATCTTTTGGAGGCTCCAAACTTCATAAGTATTATCACTACTCATAAATTCATAATTTGTTTATTAGGCTGAATCTCTTTCAATATGTCCCTTTGACTCATTTCTGTCTTGATAGTACTTTTCAAACTTGTATTAGACTTTCATTTTCATTAATACTTTTTATTAAGCCCAAATACTTGTAAACATTTGACATTATTTTGAAGGTAATCACATTTTTTTATATGTTGGTTCCCTTCTGCTTCTTCTATCACGACTTATTTTGTTGAGAAAATCATATCTCCTTGGAAAGTCGTTTCTAGATTGAACAACCAAGATGAGGTCCTCTGCATACAAGCCTTTGCAGCTACATACCCTTTTTATCTAAAATCAAAAATTCACTCAAAACAAAAATACAAAGGAAATGAGAACTATCACAAAAACTTGGGGAGATGACTCCTAGGTGGAAGTGGAGCAAAATTGGTCCTACATGCATTCACCCAAAAATGCCCTTTATCTTCTTCCCAGAAAAGATTTAAAATAGGCTCATTCCTAAGCAGTGATACAATGACATGGGAAATTTTCCGATGATTATGATGATGTTAGGCCTCTTCATCAGAAGTGCACTGTGGTACATTTAAAACAATGGTCCACTGCACGGCAATGAAGGGCCTTGAAAATAAAGGATCTGAAAATAATCTTGTACGTTATCCCTTCAAGGCAGGGTTGAGGTTGTGTGGTAGCATTTCAACGCATGTAAAGCAAAAGGTGATGTGTGTGGCACTGCATAAGCAGGTAATGACTAGGATGTGGAGTTACAGCAGTCCTCTGGATGGCAATTCGATGCACAAAGGCAAATCCTTTGATAGCTAGGGATGGAGATCCGTAAATTGAAGTGAAAGGAATGTGCCAGAAGGTGACATTTCACATTGAAGGGTGATTATTTTCATATATTCTCAGGGCCATTCCAGCCCCACTTTCAAGAGCTATCACCTAAATTTTGTTAGTAGTCTCTAGGTTCACTCTATACAATTCTTTTATACTATTTCAGGATAAATGTGTACTTGTTAGTATTGTAATGGCCACAGATATATTCCAGAGCAAGAACTTTAGACCTTACTAATTAATGATAAAACCGGAAAGATATTTGCTATGGGTAACTGCATGTTTATGACCTAAATATAATATTAGGAAACAAGGCATTTTACCAACTTAAATATTGTAGAGCGGAATCCTTCAAAACAAGGGAGACTACTCTTATATCCACTAGTGGGACATGAGCATCGTTTTAAAATCAGGGCAGTTGCAGGTATAAGATTTGCACATAAACACTGAGAAAAAATTCTCAGTCTACTATGATCATAGGAGTTGGTTTCATGAACAAATCAACTCACCTGTTGTTAAGATGGATAAGAAAATCAATTGCCAAAGTGCATAAACTAGGCTGAACGATATTGTGATTCCTTCCATATTCAGACCATGCAGATCCAGCCACACCCACTGGACTGCCAAGGGAACTACAGTCGTCTGCTACTGATGCTGTAGCAGCATACACTGGAATTCCACCATCAAGCAATTCAATGTCTGCTTCATATCCTTCATCAGCTGTAATGTATGTATCATCCAGAGAACTACAGTCATTGCTTAATTCTGTAGTATCAAGATCTTCATCTGCATCTGACAGACTTTCATCCCATGTGGTTGAAACAAAAAGTGCTGGAAGCTGTGAAATAATAGAATTAAAAAATATTAAATAGTATAATGGACCCTCTAATATAATTCTATAACACTGTAGTCAACTGCGTAATACTCATTACACATGTGGAAAAGTCAAAGAAAATCAATATTAATTGCCTACTTGTTCCAGGTTATGATATTACTTTACATATGTACAGAAGTTGCTACAAAATTTGTCTAATTGCCACATTGTATACCTGTCTATTTGGATTTTGGACCATTCAGGATATCCATATTATTACAAATTAAAGAATTCCTTATATAACACAGATTTATTCCCCTCAATTTAAAATAGTATGAACAACTAAAAACTTCAATCGAATCAAACAAAATTAAATTTCATTCTCTTCATATAGCCTAAGAGTGCTTGGAAAGAGCAAAGAGCTTTAAATAGCACATCTAAATCAAGTCTTCCAAAAGAGAAAATGCCCTAGTGACCAGTAACAAATAGGGAACAGAATTTATTGCAACATAAAAAGCAAAAATATGTACTTATACTTTATTACTAATTTCCAATGCATGCAGAAATTGAAAGGAAGCAATGCATCCTCCAACCATGTCAGAGGGTCTATGGTTGTGTTGAAATACTCAGGGAACTCAGGAAAATCCGAAAACGAAGAAACAATTTTGATACCGACTACAAAATGCAAATATTTGAATGAGGTTTTCCGGCTATTCTAATTCTGCGCTTACTGACTGAAATTAGTCAGTGGCATTCAGGTTGAATATAGTTAGTATGTCACTGATTCAGACACAGCTGATGATTTGCACCACCAAAGCTCTAAGAAAACGGCCACTCGCCATTAAATAGAACATTTCACTGTATGTACACCATACTATGTAATTGCGGTATTTGTGAGCACTGCTTTTCTTAAAATATTTAATTCATTACAGAATCATAAGAAGTATTTTTTTTGTTTTTCTGAAGTAGTGTTAAGGCAACTTTAAAAAGAACCAATTTGTCTGGTTTTGGTCAGCAACATTTTTGGTGCTGCAGACTAAAATTACATAGTTCTTTTTCCAAACATGTGAGAAAAATAGAAAACATGTAAATTACAAATTTATGATCAGAGTTTAAAATTGTTCCATTGTCGCATTTACAAATTTTTAAACAGAAACTGTCACCAGGGAGGCTTTAAAAGAAATTTATAGTTGCTGAAAAAAAGTACGAAACCATGTGGACACAAGTCTACACCAACCAAATCAAGTTTTATATGAAATAACATACGAAGAGTAGACAATTTTTCAACAATTCAAATCTGCATGTGATCATAGATATGTGATTCATAGATGTGGTAATGATCGGCATGCGCGCACGTAAACGAGCGTGTCCGAGAGCGTACGAGAGCGTCCGAGAGCGTACGAGAGCGTCCGAGAGCGTCCGAGAGCGTACGAGCGCGTACGAGAGCGTCCGAAAAAAAATTACAGTACTAAAACTGCTCCAAATCTAGTTAATTATACGAATATTATAGGATATTATATTTAGAATATTATAGGATATTATATTTAGAATATTATAGGATATTATATTTAGAATATAATAGGAAGAACAAGATTAAGAGGGGAAAAAGGGAAAAATGTAGAAAAATATCAAGGAGAAGGGATATGGAATATGTGGATGGAATATGTGGATGGAAATGAAGAAAGAAGGGGGAGAAAGCTATATGGAGCATGAGAGAAAGAAAGGAGGGGAGAAGGAAGAGGGGAAGCAGGACAGGAGAGCAGAAAAAGAGAACAGAGGGGAGGAGGGGGACAGCAAGGAGAGGAAGGAAGGGTGAACAAGAAGATGAAGAAAACAAACGAGACGAAGACAAAGAAAACAAAAGAGACGAAGGAGGAGGAGGAAACGACGGAGGAGGAGCAGGAAACGACAAAAGAGGAGGGGGAGGAGGAGGAAACGACGGAGGAGGAGGAGGAGGAAACGACGGAGGAGGAGGAGGAGGAAACGACGG